ATACGCATCACCCGAGCCTGAGCATGTTCAGCGGTCGTCTTTGGATGGACAGCTCCTGGGTGGGAACCAAAGACGACCCCAGGTGCTCGACGCTTGGGCGAGGTGCGCCACGCGTGCCAGGGGCGCCACGCGCGCCAGGCACCCCTGGGGCCCGAGCGTGCCTGGCCAGATGCGCCACGTTCTCCGAGCGCGCCAGGTGCGCCGCACACTCCAGCCGCGCCAGGTGCGCCACGTTCAGGGCACATGCAGGGTGCGTCAGGTGCGCCTGCGCAAGTGACAGCACACATCGGGAAACATGTCGGCCCCCGTCATCCTTGTCGAAAACCAAAGCCCATCATTGTGTCTGGTGGGCCTGCGCACAGCAGGCCAAGCGCCGCCACCCCCGCCGTCCCTGTCAAAAACCACTTGACAGTGATCGCGGGATGGCAGCGCACGATCCAGATTTTGCCGCGAGGTGCATGTTGTATTTTTTGTTGTCAGGGATGGTAGCCCTGCGTGCAGCAGGGGATATGCTGACACCCCCGCCGCCCCTGCCAAAAGCAATACACAGTGCTCGCGGGCCTCACGAACATGAGTCAAGACTTTGCCCCAAAGTGTACTTTGCATGGCTTTTTGATAGTGGTGGTGGGGGGGGCGCATCGTTTTGGCCGCCCACGCTCCAAATGTTGAGTCAGAGTGCGGTTCGTACAGTTGTTGGACAGGGATGGTGGGGGGCGAGCCCTCATGGAGTCGGCATGGGTCCGGGTTGGCCGCCAGCCGGGTGGGGGAGGGGGTGTGGATCAACAAGGAACAGTGATCTAGCTGCCCTCCTAGATAGCACGCCGTCTAGCTCACTCCCACCCGCCCTCCTGTCACATCAGTAACACCCGATTGTCTGCAGATCGCTCAGGAACGCCACGCATGCCATGCGCGCCACGGGCCACGGGTTCCAGGTGCACCAGGCACCCTGGATGCCCAAGCGTGCCAGGTGCGGCACGTGCTCCACGTGCGTCAACGGTGCCACGTGCTCCAGCCGCGCCAGGTGCGCCAGCTACGGGGAACCAACAGGGACCCCAGGTGCCTGGGGCCCTGGACCCAAGGAGAGCAGGATCCGAGAACTCTGTGAAAAGGGCGGCCCCTGCAGGGAGCACAAAGTTCCGGCACCGATGGACAGCTGGTGCCACCTGGGGGAGTCGTGAATCAGAGATGAGAGCTCAGAGGAAACAGGGCCCTGCGCGTGTTCCAGATTTGAAGCCACAGTATATTTGGTACTGTTTGTTGACAGGGATGGTTGGCCTGCGCGCAGCGAGCAATATGCGGCACCCCTGCTGTCCCTGTCAAAAACCATACAAAGTGGTCGTGGGACGCACGCAGATTTTGGAGGCAAGTGTATCTTGTATTCTCGTTGGCAAGAGATGGTGGGGGGGTGTTCTCATTGGTCCGGGCGGGCGGCCGACCGCCTCGGGGAAGGGGTGTTTTTTTCCTGTAGGGAGCTGTGATCAAGACACTCCTCGCCGCCCGCAAGCCAGCTCGCTCACTCCCACCACCCGCCCTCTCAACTCCTAAGTACGTAGCACCCAGGCCGTAGAATGTACAGCCACTGTCTCTGGATGGGCATCTGCTGGGAACCAAAACAGACCCCACGTGCCCGAGGGCGACGTGCGCCACGCGTGCCTGGCGCGCCAGGTGCGCAAGGCACCCCTGGTGCCCCTGCGAGCCAGGCACGCCTGGTGCGCCAGGTGCGCCATGTGGACCGCGTGCGCCATGTGTGCCGCATGCTTCAGCCGTACCAGGTGCGCCACGCTCGGGGCACGCGCAGACTGAGCCAGGTGCGTCCGCGCACGTGACAGCACACATCGGGCAGTATGTCGGCCCCGACCACCCGTGTCGAAAAGCAGTGCGCAGTCGCGCCGGCATGGCCATCATATTTTCTGGTGCGCTTGCGAGCAGCAGGCAATAACCTCAGGAGGTCTTCACTTTTGACTCCTGCTTCTCTCGGCGGGGAATGAACTCGCCCCTCTTCCTCCTCCTGTTCCTCGTCGTCGTCGTCGCGGCGGAGATTATTAGTCCCTCTATTTCTGGGCGGGCTGGATAATGTTGGCGGCTTCTGTCCCCCAGGGAGTAATCAATTACGGGTTAACCTACACGCGAAAATATGTGTGAGCATATTATATCATGAGAGTTGCAATCGAATCAGTGGTTGCGTTTTTTGTTGTGATTGTAGTCGTGATTGTAGTCTTGACTGTCGTCGTAATCGTAGTAGTGGTTGTAGTCGTAATTGCAATCGTAATCGTGGTCGTGGTCACGGTTGGAATTATTCGCCCTCTATTGTTCAGTGGGCTGAATAGTGTTTGGGTTTTCTTTCCCAGGAGCTAATGCATTGTGGGCCAACCTGGTCGCGAGAGGATTTGTGAACATCTTCGCATGCGGATTGCAATCGGAATCAGTGGTTGTCGTTTTTGTAGTGATTGTAGTCGTGCTTGTAATTGCGGTTGTAGTCGTGATTATAGTAGTAATCGTAGTCGCGATTGCAGTCGTAATCGTAGCCGCGGTTGTAGTCGCAATCGTAGCCGCAATCGTAGTCGTCGTCGTCGCGGCTGCCCAGCTGATATGTCCTTTAATTACCCTACGCGCGACAGGATGTGAGAGCATCTGCTCATGAGGATTGACCCAGAAGCAGTGGTTGTGGTTGTTATCGTGATTGCAGTCGTGGTTGTACTCGCGCTTGCGATCGTGATGGTAGTCGTGTCGTGATTGTAGTCGTAGACGTAGTCGCGTTGGCAGTCGTCATCGTAGCCGCAATCGAAGTTGTCGTTATAGTCGTAGCCATAATCGTAGTATGCGCCGTTGTCGCGTTGTTGTGCGGCGGGCGCCGCGGAGAGATAGTTGCTCCACGGTCGGTGGGACCCCCGTCCGTCAAGGAGGGCGCACAATAGAATCAGTGGAGAACCCCCGTCCGTCAAGGAGGGCGCACAATAAGATCAAAACCAATTAGTTCCCAACTCTGGGGAAGGGGTTCGAACTGCGCACGGCAGGCTATCTGTGGGCACCCTCGCCGTCCTGGTCAAAAAAGAAACAATCCAAACTGCTCGCGCCCCCCCAGCGCATAATCCCACATGTGTCGCGACGTGCACTTGTGTTTGAGTTGTTTGACAGGGGTGATGGTAAGGGGCAGGCATGGGTCCTGGTTGGCTATCGGTCGCCTGGGGGAGGGGGGTGTCGTAAGAGGGAACAGTGATTGAATTCTACTCCTCTCTCCCTCGACTCTGTCTGGAAGATGCCCAGCCCCCTCCGCGTACTGATGATTGTTTGCCAGCAGGATTTCAAACATTGATTTGTCTTACTCTTTTTTGTTGCACGATCCGATTGGTTTTTAGAGTTTCAAGATGGTGTTCCCGCTGCAGCGTGGGCCTCGTTTTCGGATCGGCGCTTTGCTCGCGACGTTCAGAATGGCGCTCTCGCCCCAGCGCGGGCAGCGCTGTTTGTCCAGGGTCATTTTCCATTGTTGTCGTCCCCCTCATTTCACCTGCTCCGCCTTCCCCTGGTCCTCTTGCTCCTCCCGCTCCTTCCACTCCAGCTCCTGCTGCTGTTGTTTGTCCTCGTCCTCCGCCTTACTCATCCTCCTCCTGTTCCTCCTGCTCATCCTCCTGCTTATCCGCCACCTCCTCCTCTTCCTCCTTCCGGATCTCATTTGCGCGCAGCTCCCATTCTCCGATTGCGCATCGCACGAAGGGGTCTTTCCAGGAGTTCCAGGTCCGCTATGACCCGCGTCCGCGGATTGAGAACATCTTAGAGCAATGGTAAGGCATGCGAGCGAGGAGGAGGATGTCAGAGGTGGCGCGAGCAAACCTAGTTTGGCCCCTCCCTTCTCTCGCTTCTCCGCCTCCTCCCTCCCTCCTACCTGCCTTCCCAGACTCCCGACGTCGGGATTACTTTCACAACCTGGACCCCCAGAAGTCTGGACCCCTTCCCCAGGACTGGTTTTCCTTCCCGAGTCGTTTTCTGACGGCCCTGGGGCCCAGCGAAAGCCCTGAGAGTCAAACACTAACCATAAACATCCCGTCGAGTTTGAATCACGACGCGAGTGGGTCGGGATCCTTCCATTCATGATGCAACTCCCCGGAGGTTCAATTCAGCATCGGCGTTGGTAGATCTGTGATCAAAAATTTGTTCAATCAGGCACAATCGCGCCAAATGCTGTTTAGTCCTGCTCAATCCGACTTGAAACCTAATTAGGTTGATGCAACGCAGTGGCCCCTCCATCGTATGTCATAGCCCTGAATCGTTCCGACGATAATCGCCCAGGAGTTGCATCCGAAGGTCAAGGACCCGCAGGTCCGGGCACAACAACGAATCACAACCACAAGTAAGCGGATTTCTTCGGGAGGGTCCGTCGGGGGAAAACCCACCAACCTCAACTTGAGCACTGGTTGTGGTTGTGATCGATCTGGCCTTTCCGTGACGCCACACCGACCACAACCAGAACAACGTTGGTTTTGTATCCCGGCAATGTTTGGCATGCGCAAGGCAACCCCCAGGGTCCCAGGGCGTGTCCTCGATGTGGTTGTGGTCGTTTGCTCTTCCCGCAGTCTTCCAATTTGTGTGGGTGTGTGTGTGTGTTTACCTCGATCAGTCGTCACCGGCGGCACGCAGCCTGTGTCGCCCCCTCGTTGTGTCGCCTGCCTCGTATGGAAAGATTTTCTAGTGGACAACCACACGCTGGCGCTAACACACTTCCTGAGGATCCCTCCCTCCTCTCCCTCCCTCTTCTCCCTTTCCCTCCTCTCCCCCTCCCTCCTCGCTCCCTCCCTCCTCTCCCTCCCCCCTCTCCCTCGAGGCATCCCTCTCCCCCTCCTTCCCCCCTCCCTCCCTCCCGCCCCTCCCTCCCCTCTCCCTCCCTTCTCTCTCCCTCCTCTCCCTCTCCCTCTCCCTCGCCCTCCCCCCTTCTCTTTTCCCTCCCGCGGCTCCTTCTCCCCCCTCCCTCCCCCTCCCTCCCTCGCCGTGCTGGGCCTCGGCTCCGCAGGGGGCCCTGGGCGCCCGGCGCCTGGGCGGCTGGCGCGCCACTCCGTGGCGCGCGCGCGCGCCGCCATGGCTGCGCCGCCGCTGCTGCCGAAGTGCGCCCGCCCCCGGCGCGCGAGGGCGCGCCTCCCCGGCATCGCTCGGACGTGTGCATTTTTTCTCGGCGAGGGCCATCCAAACGACGCGATGATCGGGGCAAAATCGGATCGGGATAACTCGAAATCTCTGAGAATCGGCGGGTTTGGAGGATGTATTGGGCGCCGCGGCCGCTCCAGAAGCGTTCCGGAACGCTCTGAGAGCGCTCCGGAACACTCTGGAGCGATTTATCCCGATCCTAGCCCTGTTTTAACTCTGTGTCTTGGCATCGCTCGGACGTGTGCATTTTTTCTCGGCGAGGACCATCGAGGACGATCCTGCACCATCGAGCAAAAAAAGCACGCACGAAACCGACAAATGCACGGGAAATGGACGTCCGAGCCAGGGCGAGCTTCTGCGTGCTGCTGATGCTCAGTCTTACGTCGGGCGTGCCCCCCTACAAGGGGGATTTGTCGACGAAACATAAGTAACCAACACCCTGAAGATACCCCCAAAAGGTCAAAAAAAACATTCAGAAAATAGTCCCCAGACTATTTTTGGAGCATGTTTGGATTATTTGTGGGATGTTTTTTAATTTTTCGTCGAAGATCCTCCTGTAGGGGGACAGGCCCGACTTAAGTTCAGTCGGGGCTTCGTGGAGGGAGGGTTCTCCCAGGGTGGGGCTGGGGAGCGGGCCCAGCTGGATGCTCCTGTTTCACGCGTTTCTTCCAGGGGCCGTTCGGAGCGATGTTCTGTCCAACCCCACCTTCGCCCCAACCCCACCTTTGTGGCCCCCCGATTCAGAGGAGGAAGAGGCACCCATACCTTTACCCCTTGCTCGTTTTCCCCTTTTTGGGCCTCCTGGGCGGCCCTCGTCACCACCGCTGGGTTCGCCTTGAAGTTCTGGTCAGAAGGCACCCCGGGAGAGGTCGAGGGAGTAGCGGTATCGGTGCCTTTTGGTTTCCCCATGTGTCTACAGTGGAAGCCCATGCGAAGAAACACCTTGCCTGCCTCCAGGGTGCCCTGGCTTTCTCGAGTTTCGACGGTTTTGCGGTGGAGAGCGTGACGTTCCCACACCAGAAATCTATGGATGTCCTGGGGTCTCAGGGTTGGGTTTCGTCTGGACGGTTTCTTGTGGTTGAGCTCCTACTGTAGACCTCCCAGGTGGGGTCGGAGGACTGCGTCGCATCGCCGACGCATCGGCGGTGTGGCGCGATGTGGCGCCGACGGCGCCGATGCACCGCCGACGTTGCCGATGCATCGGCAGTGCGTCGACGCATCGGCGATGCATCGGCGATGCGGCGTTATCCTCTGGCCCCGTCTACCCGGACCCCATCTAGAAGGCCTCTACGATGGCGTTGTTGCTGCTGTTTTATAGAGCACACAACTACATAATCAGAGTCATTCGGAGTTCTGCTCGGATTTCCTGGGTCGGCTCCGTACCCTTCGCGCGCCAAGCATGGGGGGCAAGCGCCCATCGAAAAATCTGCGCAGACAATCCCAAAGTTCATGTTGATGCGTGCGCTCTCTGCTCTGTTGGTGCTGTTTGTAATGTGTTGTTGGTTGTATGTCCCTTTCTCCAGTTTGGGGATGATGAACGCAAGCGATGCTGCTGGTGATGAGAATGATGGTGGCGATGTTGGCTGTGACGGGCACGGTGACGGTGATGGTGATGGTGATGATGATGATGATGATGAGGATGAGGATGAGGATGAGGATGAGGATGAGGATGAGGATGAGGATGAGGATGAGGATGAGGATGAGGATGATAAGGATGATGAGGATGATGATAATGATGAGGATGATGAGGATGAGGATGATGATGGTGACAATGATTATGGTTATTATGATGATGCTGGTGATGTGGATTATGCTAATGGTGATGATGGTGGTGACGATGATGATGAATGTGATGATGATGTTGATGATTGTAATGATCATGATGACGCTGATAATGATGATGATGATGATGATGGTGATGATGATGAGGATGGTGTTGGTGATAGTAATGATGATGATGATGACAATGATGATGATGCTGATGATGATGATGATGATGATGATGATGATGATGATGATGATGATGATGCTGATGCTGATGCTGATGCTGATGCTGATGACGATGATGATGATGATGGTGGTGGTTGTGGTTGTGGTGATGGTTGTGGTTCTGGTTGTGGTTGTGGTGATGATGATGCGAGGGAGGGAGGATGGGGCTGTGTAGCTACTAGGGTGAAGTTGGGGCGGAGGAGGAAGAGGAAGAGGCAGGCGTATAGGAGGAGGACCGTGAGGAGGAGGACCGTGAGGAGGAGGAGGAGGAGGAGGAGGAGGAGGAGGAGGAGGAGGAGGTGCAAGGGAGCAGCGGGGACGAGGGAGGGAGAAGGGGCGCTGGAGAGGGAGGGGAGGAGGAGTGGGGAGCAGGAGGAGGCCGGGCGAGCAGGAGGAGGCCCCCCCCCCCTGCCGAGCCTCGGCGCGGCCCTGGAGCCCATCCTGCCGGGCGCCCAGCCAGCTCGCCACCGGCCCGCCCGGCCGCGCGCCTCCGCGGGTCTCGCCCCCCCCTTGGGCCCCACGCCGCCGTCGTCGGCGGCGTCGTCGTCCGTCTGTCTGTCTGTCTGTCTGTCTGTCTGTCTGTCTGTCTGTCTGTCTGTCTGTCTGTCTGTCTGTCTTCGTTGTTGTCGTCGCCGATTGTCTCGACGATCGCCGCCTCCGTCGCAGTCCCAGCCACCTCCGGCGTGCTGAACAACTCCATCCGGATGCTTCCCGCAAGTTTCGGCCTCCCGCGGCCCTCGCTGGGCCCAGGGGCCGTCAAACGACAAGCAGGGCGCAACGGTATTCAGGAGGGAAAAAAACACACACAGATACAGTGAATCGTCGATTCCCCGGGAAATATGGGAAAATATGGGAAGTGGGGGGAAGACGAAAACCCCCAAACAATATGGGAAAATATGGGGAATCTTTTTATTTGTGTATTTGCTTGTGTGTCCTGGGGCCCCTTCAGGCATGTGCGCTTTTGTCTTTTGTCCTGGCTTACCTTCGGATGACCACGTCAAGCACCGCCTCGCGCCTATAGCCCTCCGTGGCCGCAGCCCCTCTGGGCGCGAGAAGCGCGTCCTCTCTGAAGAGGCCCCCGCCCCGAGCCCCGAAGCGCGGGCATCCTCAGTAAATGTCGCGTGCCCCCAGGGAAAGGATTCCTCCTCCTCCTCCTCCTCCTCTTCCTCCTCCTCTCGCGGACTGCATATTGAACAAACATTGGTTAATCGGATCTCTGGGATTGTCGTCGCGGCCCAGGTGGTCGTGCCACGAGCCACATTGCGATAAATATTGAGGGTGCGTTGTTTCCCGCGTGATAAGCCCCAGGCGTGCCGACGACGCCCCATAATTTGGATGCGTCGTGAACAAGCGCGTCGGCGCCGGGGCTTCTGGTTCTCTTGCCCACCCGCGTCGCGCCCGCGTTCCTCCTCCCATCCTTCCCACGGGCGCACACGGGGGCCTCGGAGGAGCCTCTGATACGGGGCGTGAAAACGACCACAGCCACTGCTTTTCTTTTGTTGCCGCCTTCCAGCCCGCAGAAACAAAGCAGTGGTTGTGGTCATTTTCGTTGAGCTTGGCACCAGGGAAATGACCACAACCACTGCTTCTTTTTCGGCCGGCTGGAAGGCGGCGCAAACAAGAAACAGTGGCTGTGGTCATTTTCCTGTCCCGCATCTGAGGAAACATTCAGAAGCCTCGCGGGAGCTTGGCAGGGCGTGGCAGGCGTGCCATTTTTCCTGGGCGCCACAGGGGGTGCGCAAGGGGGCGGCTCCCCTGTCCATGCCACGCTCGCAGGCGTGGCATGCATGGCATGACACCGGATGGGGTGCGCAACGGAGGGCCCGCCTTCTCTGCTCCTCCTCCTCCTCCTCTTCCTCCTCCTCCTCCTCCTCCTCCTCCTCCTCCTCCTCCTCCTCTACGCGCTCGCAGGGCGTGGCAGGCGCAGCTTGGTTTCGACAGCACAGGGGGTGCGCAGGGGAGGGCCCCACTTCTCTGCTTCACGCTCTCGGGGCGCGGCTGGCGCAGCATGTCCTTGACACCAGAAAAAAGGGGGTGTGCAGAGGGTGGTGCCCTCATCCGCTTCACGCTCGCAGTGCGTGGCAGGCGTGGCATTTCTTCGACACCAGAGGGGGCGCGCAGAGGGTGGTTTCCCATCCACCTCACGCTTGCAGGGCGTGGCAGTCGTAGCGTTTCTTGGACACCATTGAAGGGATCACCCATCCGCTCCATGCTCGCAAGGCGTGGTTGGCGTGGCACTTCCTCGACACCAGAAGCGGATGCGCAGAGGGTGGTTGCCCCCTATCCGTTTTTATGCCTGCACGGCGTGGCAGGCATGGTTTTTCTTCGCCCACAAAGTGGGGTGCAGAGAGGGTGGTTCCCCTATCCGCTTCACGCTCCCAGGGCGTGGCAGGCGTGGCATTTCCTCGGCACCAGAAGGAGTGCGCAGGGGGCGGTTCCCGTGTCCGCTTCATTCTGCCACGGCGTGGCAGTCGTGGCATTCCCTCGACACCAGAAGGAGTGCGCAGGGGGCGGTTCCCGTGTCCGCTATATTTTCGCAGGGCGTGGCAGGCGTAGCATTCCCTCGACACCAGAAAAGGGGGTGCGCAGCTGTGCACCGAGCGCGGTTCCTCCATCCGCTGCACGCTCGCAGGGCGTGGCAGGCGTGGCATTTCTTCGACACCATTGAAGGGATTCCCCCTACGCTTTACGCTCGCAAGGCGTGGTTAGCATGGCATTCCCTCGGCACCCTCGTCCGCTTCATGCCCGCAGGGCGTGGCAGGGGTGGCAGTTCCTCGCGACCAGAAGGGTATGTGCAGAAGGTGGTCCCCGAGTCTTTGTCACGCCAGCAGGGCCTGCTGGCGTAGCGTTTACTCGACAACAGAGGTGGTGCGCAGAGGGTGGTTCCCACATCCGCTTCACGCTCGCAGCTTGACACCAGAAAAGGGACACAAAGGAGGTGGTTCCCACACGTTCCCCCTATACGCTTCACGCTTGCAAGGCGTGGCAGGCGTGGCGTTCCCTCGGGACCAGGCGGGGTTGCACAAAGCGTGGTTCGTTCATCCGCTTCACGCACGAGACCGCATCGTTCTCTACTCTGCGGAGGCGCGTCGGAGAGTTTTCGGAGATGTGGTTGGGATGTTTGTGGCTGTTTTCGGCCCCCGGAGATGTTGCTTAGATGTTATGTCGATATGTTGGCCCCTGGGGAGATGTTTCGTTGATGTTTCTTAGATGTTCTGCAGATGTGTTCGCCCTCCCCCCGCGGAGATGTTTCGTGGATGGTTGGTAACTGTTATGTAGATATGCTCGCCTCCCCATACATGTGTCGGATATGTTTCGGAGATGGTTCCCTCCCTCTCTCCTTCCGCATCCCTCCTCCCTCTCCCTCTGTTCTCCCTCCTCCCCTCCCTCCCCATCACTCCTCCCCTCCTCATACATACGTCCTCCTCACTCCTCCCTCTGTTCTCCCCTCCTCCCCTCCCTCCCCCTCACTCCTCCCCTCCCTCCCCATCACTCCTCCCTCCCCTCCCTCCTCCTCCCCCTCCTCCCCTCCTCATACATACGTCCTCTCTCCCTCCCCTCCCCATCACCCCTCCCCATCCGCCCTCCCTGCCGCCCCTTCCCACATCCGTCTGCCGCTGCGCCAGATCGGACCGCCAAACCACACGGTCCGCCAGCCGCACAGGTGAAAACCCTGAGCCGACGGGGTGGCGCGAAAACCGTTCCCAGGTCGAGCCTACCCGAACAAAGAGTGCACAGCCCACGTGCTGCGCCCTCGACAGCGCACCCCCAGCGAGGCCCCCACCCCACCCGGGCGTCGGCCACTGGTGGCGAGCATGCTGCTCGGCGTCTCTCTCTCTCTCTCTCTCTTTCCCTCTCTCTCTCTCTCCCCGGATGGCGGCCGGTGGGCCCCGCCTGGCGGGCGCGGGGCCCCCTGCCTCCCCCTCCGGGGGCCTCGCGACCCCGTCGAGGGCGCCCCCCCCCCCCCCCCAGGAGGAGGAGGAGGAGGAGGAAGAGAAGGAGGAGGAGGAGGGAGGAGGGAGGAGGGAAGAGGGAGGAGGGAGGAGGAGGAGGGAGGGAGGAGGGAGGAGGGATGGAGGGCCTCCCCCTCCTCGAAGGCCCCCGCTCGAGGCCCGGCCCTCGGCCTCGGGCCGCGGCGTGGCCGCCGCCGCCGCCCCCCCACGGGGCGCTCTCCGAGAGGCCGGCCCGCTGGCGGCCCCACGGCGGAGCACGGGGCGGCCGCCGCGCTTCCTGGGGAGCCACCCGCGGGCGTCCGGTGGGCGGGCGCCGTTGGCCCGACCGCCTGCGGTGGGGGCACGTCCTCCAATCGCCTCCTCCTCCTCCTCCTCCTCCTCCTCCTCCTCCTCCTCCTCCTCTCCCCCCCTCCTCCTCCTCCTCCCCCTCCTCCTCCTCCCCCTCCCCCGACCAGGGGCGCGCTTCCCTCCCCCTATCAGCAGCCTCACGCGTGCTGCAGCTGGCTGGCCTCGCGCCGTCAAGGTTGCCCGTCGGCCCGCTGCCCCCACCTCCCAAGGGCAACGATATGGGGGGATAGGCAGTATGGGGGATGCATCGACCCCCAATCGCCCATGGATCGCCGACAGGGGCCTGACAGCCCCAGGGGGCCTCTCGCCGATCTATCGGCGATGTATCGCCGATTCCAGGGCGATGCTTCCCCCCTACGCCTGTGCCCGCCGATCGTTGCCGTTCATTCAGACTTGTGTCCAGATCTTGTGCAGCTTGGAGTTTCGGGCTCCCTTCCAAAGAAGCCCGAGGCGTACTGGATAGGGTTGAAGATGTGGCCCCTCGAGGCTCGATGCTTATCCATATCCAGTGCGCCTGGGCCTTGCAGCGTCCCTTCCAAGAAAGTCCAAGACGCACTGGATATTGACATGAAGATTGCCCGCATGTTAGACCCAACTCTCCCCAGACCAAAATGTTTCCCCTGGATACACTACGGGGCTTCAGGACAACATGTCCGGCTTCCCCAGGGCCGGCTTTTCATCTGGAGTCGGTTCTTGATAGCCCCGGGGACCGGCGAGGAAAACGGAGAAAAACATCCGAATTAAATTGTCCAATGCGCTTGAGGTTCGAGATTGCGACGGAGACGGCGAGGATCGAAACCATTGACGACGACGACGACTACGACGACGACGACGTTGACGGCGACGACGACGACAACGATGACGGCGAAAAACCTTTGTCTTGGTTCTTTCAATACGCACGTTGGAGGTCTGTGGTTTGTGCGCTGCCCGTCGTCGTCGGTGCGGTTTCCCGCCAATCCGAGGCTGCACGCGGAGGCGGGGGACCTGGAGGCCCTCCAGGCGATGCCCGAGGCGGCCTCCGCCCCACGACGGCTCTGCGGCCTCTCCGAGCCGACCCGGCTCCGGTCGACCCGAGCTGGTCGATTCGGCCTGGAGGTAAGGGTAGCCTCTCTGGCGAGCTTTGGTGCAGGTCCACTGGGGACCTCGGATCGCCGAAAGCGCGAGGCGGCAGTGGCGTCTATGCGCTCCTGCTTTTTTGCCCCCCCCCCCCCCTCCCCCCTGCGGCCCCCCAAAACAGCCGCGCACCGAAGGGTCACTCTTACCCGGGGTCACTCTTGCGTGTGGACGAGGGGCTCCGAGCCGATCGAGCCATCCGACCGATTCGATCGACATCGGCCCCTTGCCCAGAAGTGATCCACATCGGCTGGCGTCTCAAAAATATCGACATCGACAAAGACTTGTCCTAGACATCGACATCGATCGATTCACATCGATACCTAGGATCACTCTTACCAAGCGTCACTCTTGCGTGTATCTAGGCCTCCTAGACGGGGTCCGAGCAGATGGGGTCGGAGGATCGCGCAGCATCGCCGATGCATCGACGATGCGGCTCGACGTGGAGCCCGTGTTACCCCACGCCGACGTCGCCGATGCATCGCCAGCGTCGCCGATGCATCGCTGATACATCGGCGATGTATTTGCGATGCGGCGCGATCCTTCGACCCCGTCTAGTCGGACCCCATCTGGGAGGCCTTTAGTGTAGCCGATCGATCCGAGCCGATCGAGCGATCCGTCCGATTCGACCGACATCGGCCCCCTGCCCGAGAAATCCTGGCGTCTCGGAGAGATCCAGAGACGGAGGCTTTCCATCGTTTTTGGTCCCCCGGGGCCTGGGCCTCGAGACTGTCAAGAGACGTCGGGATGAAGAGCCGGTTCTGGGGAAGTGGTCGAGAGGTCGGGGGCGAGCGTCTCTGACAAAACAATGGGGGAAACGTAAGGCTGGAGTGCGCCAGAGCCCGGCTTTGCCGACGCACTTTGACGAGCGCGTCCCGGACTCTGACGGTCCAGTGTTCGTGGGACGTTTGCAGCGGGTTGGTGGTCTTCAAACCAGGTGGTGAGACACCCGGTGGTGACCCCGATTCCCCCAAAAAATAATTCTGGGTCACCACCGGGTTTGGGGACACGCGATCGCCACGAGGTTTTGCATTTCCTGGGCCAGCCAGCGCTCGAAAACCATTACCCAAATCGCCCAAAACTCACCACCGGGTGTTCTCACCACCACGTTTGGGGACCACCAAGCGGGAGCTCCCGTCCATGTTCAGATTGGGTCTCGGCATCGTCATGATGGCCCCGCCAGGCCAGCCCGAGCCCCCCGCAAACCTCTCTCTCCGAGCCCCTGCCGTGGCGGGCTGCGAGGGGCGGGGCGCAGACGCCCAGGGGGGGGGGGCCGTGCGGCGTGAACGCGCTTCTCGCACCGCCAGGCGGCAAGGAGGGCGCGGCACGTCGGGACGCCCACGAGGAGGGCGAGGACGAGGAGGAGGAGGCGGAGGAGGAGGAGGCGGAGGAGGAGGAGGAGGAGGGGGAGGAGGAGGAGGAGGAGGAGGCGGAGGAGGAGGAGGAGGAGGAGGAGGAAGAGGAGGAAGAGGACGCCAGATGTCTGGGTGGAGCTGCGGGCGGTGCAGTCTTCTCGCACGGGGCCGTTGGCGCCCGGGTCTCGGGCCCCGGGACCATCGCGCAGGGATGCGGACGCGTCTCTGGCCTGTGCGGGGTCCACCGACCTGGCCCAGGGGCTCGGGGTAGGGTCGCTGCTGGAGGAGCTCATTCCGACGTTACCCCTCCTCCTTCTCCTGCTTCTCCTCCTTCTCTTTCTCCTCCTCCTCCTCCTCCTCCTCCTCGTCTTCCTCCTCGTCTTCCTCCTCCTCCTCTTCCTCCCCCTCCTCCTCCTCCTCCTCCTCTCTCTCCTCCTCCTCCTCCTCCTCCTCCTCCTCCTTCTCCTCCTCCTCCTCCTCTCCCTCCTCTTCTTCCTCCTCCGCTTTCTCGGGGTGACAGAAACCCGCTGCTCCTCGGGAGAACTATCCATCAAGGCTGGCGGAACGGACGTCACCGAAGGTTCGATTCGGTTCCAGGCAGGCTCGTCAGGATCCTGGCCCAGGGGAGAGGCAGAGGGGGCAGGGCCCCTCCTCCTCCCCCGAGCCGTGGCATCGCTCGGACGCGTGCATGTTTCCCTCGGCGAGGGCCATCGAGGAGCATCCTTGATCATCTGGCGAAACCACGCACGAAACCGACAAAAAAACACAGGGAATGGACGTCCGAGCGATGGCGAGTCTCCTCAGGATTCTGGCCCAGGGGGAGGCAGGGGGGGGCAGGGCCCCTCCTCCTCCCCCGAGTCTTGGCATCGCTCGGACGCGTGATTTTTGTTTTTCGGCGAGGACGAGGACCATCGAATAGCATCCTGGACCATCGAGCACGAGGAAACCACGCACAGAACCGAAGAACGCACAGGGAATGGACGCCCGAGCGGCGGCAAGGAGTTGCTTCCGAGGGAAGGGGGCGGGCGCGGAGGCCGATCGAGGTCGCGCCGAAGTGGGCTCGCCTGGCTGCCCGCCCGGTGGCTGATCGCCGCAGCATCCATCCCAAGCCCCGCAGTGGCCGCCGTCCAGCCCTCTCCCCGCCCACTCTGCCTCCAGATCCATCCCTCTCACATCTTGGGCGGTTGCCTCCGCCCTTCGCCCTCCCTCCTCCTCCTCCTCCTCCTCCTCCTCCTCCTCCTCCTGTTTCTCCTCCGCCTCGATGCAGCACGGAACATAATGGAGGATATGATGCTGGAGGCGAGGAATTTTGATGTGGTTTTGCTGGGGGATGCACAACAGCGCACAGAGTCGGGGAACCCTGTGATGACGACCAGGAGTGCGGGGAGCTGGGTCTCGGAAGCGCCGACGTCGACGGCCCAGCATGCAAACAGCTCTTGAGGGTGTGCGATGGGGTTGGGGCGTACTGTAGAGCAGAATTGTATCGTACAGACTTGGCCTTCCCCGCCTACGGCTCCAGGGCGGGCGCTCGGGGTACGAATTAAATATCGCAATGTGGATGTGTTGTGCTATTGTGGTGTACTACCCGCCCCAACCCCAGAAGAGGGCCCACAGGGCCCACTACTTTGCGACGGTGGACATTCTCACGACACGGTTGCCCGATGGTCTCTCGGAGCTACCCGCACGTTGTATGTTGGTGGTGTATAGCGATTTAAACGATGGTATTGGGTCGTGGCACGACGGTACTGCATGGGTTACACGGGACACATTTGTTGTAGGAATTCCCAACCGAGAGATCTTACCACTGGGTGTTGAGACGCGGATCCACCAATTGATGGAGACACAACTCATGCTTGCAGCGAATACATTCAGAGGCACGGGACCTGAACCCATTTTTTCGGGATGACAGGGGGTTCACGGATCGATTCCGTGTTTGTGCCGCAGGGGTTTGCAGTCATATTAGTGTGTGTGCCGTCCGCATGTACGACTGGGTGCACGTTTGCAAGCCCTGGGAGGCTGCCCTCCCAGGGATCGTCTGCCCATTGTACGTGTGCTGCGTTATGACAAGCATGGGGCTCACCATGGGAAGTTGCAGACAAGCAGGGGTGAACGGTGGAATCAGGATGTCATCATGCAGGCTGTACGGGGGTGAACCAACCGCGAGGCATTTCCGGAACAAGTCAGTCAGGAATTGGAAGGCTCAACCCATGTGCAGCCGATGCGAGATCAGGCCTCGGCAGATGAAATATTTGAGCACCATGAGGGGACCATTGCGAAGGCGAGGCAGGTTTGTTTCGGTCGGACCTCGGACAACTGGGGTGGTGCCCCCCCGCTGCGTCAGCACGTAGGCCTTCGCTGTTGGCCCGTCGGGACAGTTTTCGAGGGAGTAAAATGGGGGCTTCGAATGAGGAGATGGCCTTCCTGGGTGCCAAACTCAAGCAGCTACCCCACGAGCTGGTGCTTTTGCGGCGATCACAGAAACGGGGACAACGTGCTACCTTACTGCAGGAAGCGCGAGAGCGATGGGGTTGCGGGTATGTCTCTGGGGGGATGCGGTTATCCAGGCTTGCGGCCAGTTGCAGATACGGAGCCAAGAAGAGGGACGCACGCCCGGTCAGAGGCATGCTCCCAAGCCGAGCCCAGAGGCTCGGGGCGCGGTCGCTCTCAGGCCTTGAAGGAGGGATGCAGGTACACGGGTGTGCGCGGGGTGAGTGGAGGAGCAGCCGAGAAGAGATGGGAAGGGCCCATGGGATTACGGAGCCGGAGGAGACGAAGGAGGTGGCGAAGGAGGACCTTCGCGCGATGCGACGATACGTGCAACGAGCACGAAACGAGGAGCCGTCCCCGCTGGCACGGCCCCCCTTGAAGTGCGGCAGCAACTACTGCGGCCGAACTACAGGGTGCGACTGCGACGCTGCGACGAGGAGTGGGCGACACGGGACCGATGCCGAGGACGCCAGTTTGTTGATTTCTGTTAGAATGGGTCTGTACAAAATTCGCGAGCACCGCGAAATCCCGCTGCGTTGGGATCAATTACGGGGGGGCCGGACTGCACAAATCATTGGTGCGATGGCCTCGGGGCAAGAGGGTGACCCGCGTCCTCCCCGCCGTGGGCAAAGCGTTCTTTGCGAGTAAGCTTCGAGCACTGCCTACGGCCCAGGATCACGGCTTTGTTCGCGGATGGGGGAGGTAGGAGGCCATTTTCATTGCGCAAGTTACGATTTGGAGATTTCGACAGATGTGTCGCACCCATTGCACGCCGCCAGAGCAGAAGACTTCAACACTGCCTTTCCGATCTCTTTGTGGACGGAGCTGGATGCGACAATATCGCTGTGTGCTCCCCCCTACGATGCCGAATTGTATAGGCAGCGCTACAAGGGTGCGATACTTGCGTCGAAATCGCGCGAAGGTCCGTTCTGCGCGCGCCCGAGATGTGGTGGGGTGAAGGGGGGGGGCCCTTTCACGGCGCGGGGCTTCTTGGCAATTCTCGGGCGGGCCACTGCGGCGCGGGGGCGCCACGTTCTTGCGAACGACCGATCAGCCGGGGTTTTAATGCCGAGCTGGCCACAACTATCAGTAGACCTGATATGGTTCAAATATGAGGACGTTCCGAACAAAATTGCGGTGGTGGATCTCGTGGGCACTATCTCGTATTAACTGCATTAACTAGATTGGGTGGACGAGGCGCTAGATGACTATCTTGGGAGGTCCGGCCGCGGTCAAAATGCTAATAAACAGGTCCAGGAACTACTTTTCTACTTCGCTGGTCAGTCTAGGCCTGCGCGGGCGATCCCGCGAGAGAGAACAGCTCGGGGAAGCGCGCCATGCAGGGGGTTGGGCGCGAGAGTGCGCGCGCCACCTGGGCCCCTGCATCAACGCGCTGCCGACTGGGCGCCATGAGGTCCCACGGCGGCGCGAGGCGGCTCGGCAGGTTTTCTTTCGCTCGGGAGGGGCGTGGTCGGCGGGTCTGGCAATTGCGCGGCGTGGTCGGCGGGTCTGGGAATTGCGCGGCGTGGTCGGCGGGTGTTTCCGGGCCTCGCGGGCAACGCTCCCCCGAGCGGGCTTGAACTTTTCTGTTCGACGGCGTCGGATTATGATCAGCGGGGCGCTTGCATCGCGGTTCTTTGCAGGGCGGCGACGTTAGGGGGCGCGTGCGTCGAGGCGCTGGCAAGGCGCAAGGTGAGCATGGCCATTTTCTCAGGTCCTACGCCACTAGCGACTACCAAGCAGTCGGGTCGACCTTCGCACAGCGAGGCTAAAGTGGCGCCAGTCTCGGGCACGGGAACCGACGAGGCACGCGCAACCCTTGCTCGCTCTCTTCGGGGGCGCCGCGGGGAGAGGGCGCGTCAGTTGAGCCGCAACTTGCGCGGGGGAGGCCGTCGCGCTCGGCGTCGCTTTGGCGTCGCCAGATTGAGGCGGACTTGTGGACTGCGGCCCCGATCGTGGATTCGTGCCGCTTGCATGATATTGGGGGACTTTGCAATCTTTGCGGGTCAGGAGCGGTCTTCTGAATGAACGGCGTTGGAGTTCGGGCGGTTCCGGGCGGCTTCGCATGCAGCGCAGACCCCGCCACCGACTGATCGCGGGCACGCGCCGCCAGAGGCGCAGAAGGGCACCAATCGATGCAACGTGCTTTCGGGTGGACCGCCAGCGGCACTGGATGGCTCCAATCGTTGCAACATTGTTCTCCAGATGGACCATGTCGATGTGGGGCGCGGACGGATGAGGGAGAATTATGCGGGGCTCGCTTTTCTACCCAAGCCCCCCCCCCCCCCCCCCCTCCCGCAAACGCATGGCCCGGCGATGCCACCTCCACAACCTTGCGCAAGTGCTGACTCCGATGAACATTTGCATTGGGCGTCGACAGGTGTTCAAGACTCGCATCACTGCCGCGCGTCATCTGGAGGCGGCGATTCGGAGGGGGCGATGCGAAGGGGGAACCACCGGAACCGCGCCGACTAGCAACGTGATCCTGCGAGAGCCCAGGTCCCTGGAGTGCCCGATTTGCAGTCGCGCCGCGGGGGATCTCCCCGCCCGCTGCAGCCGCCCCCTCGGCCATCTACCCGCGACGTCGAGGCCGGCACCGACCGATTACCGCAGGCGGGCCTTTGGAACCGACGCCGCTGGAGATGCCATCGCGGCCCAGCCCCCCGAGCCAGGGCGCCGGCGACACCGCGGGGGCGGTCGAGGGCACGGCGTCCAACGAGGGAAGGAAATGCGAGATGGGCGACTTGATGAAGCTGCTGACGGCGATCGGGCGCAGGCCCGCACGGCGGCAGACCTGGCGGCGGCGGCGCGCGCGACCTTCGCGATGCCACTCTCGCGGGGGCTTCCGGCAGCCGCGCAGGCGGATGGAAAGAAGTGCGAGGGGGGCAGCAAGGCGATGGGGACGGCCAGCGCGGCGCAGGAGCAGTTCAAGAGACGCGGGCCCCCGCGCATCCGCGCGTTCCTGGCGGCGCCCCAGCACGCGGCGGAGCGCGCGGCGGCGGGGGGCCGAGGTGGCGAGGAGACCAACGCGCTCGAGGCCAAGCAGGAGTGGGAGACCCACATAGTCTCGAGCAGCATGGAGAGCATCGCGGAAGCAGTGCTCGACTTCAGGCTGGAGACGCTGTGCAAGGAGGGGTTCCAGGGGCAACAGTGTGAGATCATCACCGTTTTCAACGAGAACGCGAAGCTGGCCCCCCTCTGCAGTCCGCACATCACGAAGGTGCTCGAGTGCGAGGGGGCGACGGCAGTCCAGCGCGAGATCGCGAAGATAGTGAACCGTGCGAAGTAGTCCACCCCGCCCTGGCGAGCCGTGTAGGAGGCACGGACAAGCGGCGTGGACAGTTGTTCAGCAGCTTTCAACGACTGGCGGAGCTGGAGGCGCGTGGCAGCATCAGTGCAGAGACAGCGGCAAGGGCTCGTTCGGGGGCCGTGCTGGTAAGTAGCTACGGTGACGATGCTTTGCCTGCTCCTCCGCTGGTCGTTTTACATGGCTGCGGCCGTGGCGCGCCATGCAGACGTCGAGAGCGCGGACGGCGTGATGGCGGGCGAGGCCGTCGCGCTTGGATGGGCGCCTCCCGTAGGGCTGCGTGCCTCAGAAGGGGGGGGGCTCGCGGGCCTGTGCCCCGAAGGGGAGCGCAGGCAGGGCCCCACAGAGTTGCGTGTTGTGTCCTCCGCGTGGGGGTGGTTCTACCCCGTCTCTGAATCCAGCTGCGCTAGACGAGAGCATGGGGCGATACCTTAGCGGTTTAGTCAGGGCAGGCCATCGGTGGATTCCCGTATGTTTGCGTTCTTGCTTGCTCCTCCTCCTCCTCCTTCTCCTCTTCCTCCTCCTCCTCCTGCAGCATCTTCGCTGTTTCCTCCACTCTGCTCCATGCTGCCCCACCCCCTCCTCCTCCCTTCTCCTCCAGTGTCCTCCCTGTGTCTCCATCCTTGACGCTCGATCATGTTCTTGCCAGCGCTGTGCTCAAAGCATCGGTGAATGATGGAAACAAGTTGCAAACAGTTCACTCTTCTCAACATACGAGAACACTCGGAGGACGCGTTTCCCGTCAGCCTTGGCAGCAGCCCTTTCGCTCGTGGGGTGTCTTAGCCCCGCCTTGTGCGCAAAGGGGGGTGTTCTGACTCGCGGTTTTTCTTGAGGCTCGGTCCTTCTCCTCCCCCGCCTGCGCCGCCGAGGCGGAGCTGCCGAAGAAACTCAAGGTGAAGGACGAGGCCGTCCTGGGAGTGGGGGCCAGGCCTGGATGATCAGCACGGAGAAGGCGGATCGGTACGATCGAAGTGGGTGGTGGGGACGAAGACCGACATCAGTTCCGATCCACTGTTGAAAGAAAAATGTTTGCACCACTTCGGCTTTAGCTGCGAATTGGATGGTGCTGCTGCTCCCCCGTGCCCCCGAATTTAATATTGAAAGTTGTGACATCTCCCAGGGCCGCTCGAACAAAAAATTAAACATTCCATTTCAGTGTGCGCGTCCGCTGTCAATGGTAAGGTCGGGGGCGGGGGGGTCGTATCAGCAGTTGTCGTGCCGCCCAGGTGGTGCAAGCTTGTTTCTTTCAGCCGCATCTTGGAGCAGGGCTCGCTGTGGGTGCCTCCGCGGGCGTTGTCCATCCGAGGCAGGAGGCCGCCTGCCCAACAGCGGCCGGTGTCGGTTTTGGAGAACATCTCTCGTTGTGCATCGTACCCATGTGGGCCGCACCCATTTCGGGCGTCCAAGGTGGAGGGGGACGAGGCAGAGGAAGTGGAGGATGAGGCACGGGAGGCACCATCAGGAATGTTGCTCGAACCTGCTGGAAGGTTCTGCGGACAAGGTCAAACCTGGACGGCCTTGCTCGAGGCCAAGGCGTCGGACGCAGCCCTGGGTCGGCAGAAGCAGCAGTCATGCTCGTGCGTGCGCGCATCTCGGTGAACAGAGTCTCGCCTCCCTCCTCTCTCCTCCCACCTCCCTTTACCCATCCCTGGTGGGGGTCGTGCGCAGCGATCGAATGCCCCATGTGCCGGGTGGCGGGTCCGGTCGTCCTCGCCCTCGCATCTGTCGTTCGTAGCTCGTCGTCGCCGTCGTCGCAGGTTCGTTGTCCATCGTAGTTGTCCGGTGTCCGTCGGCTTTGTCGTCCACGTCGTCGTCATCTTCGGCATCATCGGTCGTTTTGCGTTTTCCGACGCCCTCGTCGTCGTCGTCGTCGTCGTCGTCCATTGTTTGTCGTTCGTGGTAGCCGTCGCTTGTCTCTTTTCCCATGTCCGGAGTTCGTCGCTGTCCGTTGTTTGTATTGTTTTTTGGTAGTGGTCTCAAACGTCGTCGTCAGATTTTCGTCGTAGCCATTATAGTCGTCGCCCCATTCGTCTCAACATAATATGCGAACAGTGTGTGTGTGATATTTGTAATACCATGTTCAATCCGTATCAACGCATTCGCTGACGTTCTCCAGCGTGTCACAAGCTTTTATCGAATTCTCTGTCCCTGGTGGACGGCGACGACAGCGCTCAAAGCATGTGATTTCGCTCATGGGGTGGTGTTCGGCGCTGTCACCCCATGCACGAGCGACATGTCTGGGCGGTGCTCTGATTTCGGAGCTACAGAGTCGGAGAGGGTGGTGAAAATGACTTCCCTTGAAGGGAGTTTAGCGTAGACCCGTTGAGCTTGTGGACGTCAGAGCGCACTTCGAGTGTCACTCGTTTCACCACGTGGGCCCCCAGAGCTCTCACGCCCTTCCCTGTGGCGGGTGCTTCGTTTCGCGTCGTCATCCGAAGGCTGCCGCCGACTTTGGCATGCTCATGTTTCGAGAGGGGAGATGCAAATTACTCGCACGTCGCCGCTGGGAGCCCGTCAGCGTGCCACGCCCTCGTCCTTGGCCAAAGGCGTGGTGCTTCTTTACCAGTGACACGGTGATCGCGTCGCCACAGCGGCGTGTCATTGATAAGCAGCGCGTTCGCTCCCCCAATGTTGGCTATTCTTCGGATCGCATGGATGTGTTTTGTGTAGGCCGCCTATTCGCGGCAGACTCAGGCGGAGGGCTCGTCCGGCCTGCTGCGCGGCCTTGCAGCGCCGTGCGAGCCCTCGCGCGGCAGCGGGTGCGCCTGCGACGGGTCGACAGGCGCTGGCCGCGATGGGCACGTCAAGCGTGCCCAGCGCGCGCTTCTCTGGCCGGCCACGCAAGCGGACCCCTGAGCGCTAGGAGCTGGGTCAGGGCAACCAGTCCATCGAGACTGAGTGCCACGTGCCCGAGCCCGCGACGGGCGGCGCCTGGCCTCCCAGCGCGCGCGAGCGAAGCTGGACGGACCTCGCCGACGACGCCAGCGATGGCGGCAGCGGCGGCCGCACGGCGGCTGTATGCCGCCCCAGGCGGGCAGGGCGCCACGGCGGCCAGCGCCGGCGGTGGGCCAGCTGGCGCTGTGCCCCGCCCTTGCGGCGCGGCCCGCGGAGGGCACGCTGCTCGCTGCGGCGTGCAGCTGGCGACGGGCGTGGCCGGCAGCTGACGCGGCCGCGCGCAGCGGGCAGGCGGAGGCGGCGGCCCGCCAGCGTGTCTGGGCAATGTGCGGCTGGCTTGGGCATCCTTGCGCCGATGTAGAGTTAGGCGGGCGGGGGGCTCATAGGGGGCTCTCGCGCGAGCCGGTGTTCGCCGCGTGCGCCGGCCCGCCAGCGCCCGCGCGCCATTCGAGTCCGTCGGTTCGCGCCGTTGCGTCGACGGGGCGCTGCGGCGAGGCGGCTGCGTCGAGAGGCGGGCATGTCTACAGAGCTCGTTTCTGCGTGGCCTGAGGTGGGGTCCAGCCCGCGAGCCCCGCCAGCCCTGCCAGATGACGTCAGGAACGAAACACGTATACGTCTGGTCTTGAGATACGAACCTGCGCCCTGCACCCCCCTGGCTCGCCCCGCGAACTCGCGGGGCAATGGCTCGGTTGCCCCATCTTGCGCGGCTGGCGGGCATTGCGATCAATGCGGTCGCGCGCCAGAGCGCGGCGCGGATGTGCGGAGAAGACGACCGCTCGTCGCGCTTCACCCGTTCGCATCTGGCAGTCCAGCGAGCACGCAGACGCATGGCTGCGCGCAGCGTGGGGCTTGGGCCAAGATCTGCCGCTTCGGGCGCTACTGGGCCCTTCTCCATTGGAGAGCCCAGCCCTGCAGAAGTTGTCGCCAGCGAAGGTGGGCGACAGCGGGCGCTGCGCTCGGCGACTCCCTCTGGGCGCGCCGCCGCGCGCGCGCTGCGTGCAGCGTTGGGCGTTGCCGGTGCCGGTGTTGCTGGGCCCTTCTCCCCGGGGCGTTGCGCATGCCCCTGGGAGGGGGATGGGTGTGGGGAGGGTGCGTTCTTGGGTTCAGGTCATCAGGGAGCTGGCCCCCCGCCTCCACGCTGGACGCGGCCGAGTGGGCTCCGGCTTTCAAGGGCGCAGAGGATGCCGCGCTGCGGCTGATCGATGACGCCCACCAGCTTGTCGCGGACGCTTGTCGCTGGCACTCCAGAAGTCCTGTCCCAGGATGCGGGGAGGCCATCGTGGCGCACCTTCGGGCGCCCGCGCCTCGCGGGCGCCCTGCGGCACGGCGAGCCGTTCGCCTCCTTCTTTGGCGGGACGGCATGCCATAGGCAGCAGGGCCCAGCGTCTGCAGGAGTCCCGTCGCCTGGAAGCGTCGACGGCCACGTCGGGTGCCCTTCGCGGGCCGATGGTCAGGGCCTGCCGCGCGGCCAGCACTGAGGCGAGCATGCTCGGCCTCTGCGATCAGAGCGCAGCGGTGGCGCTGTGTCCTCGCCTGCCAGGTGGACATCGACGCCGCGGCTGCACTGCCACTGGACATCCCCGGTTTGGACCGCGCGGGGCCAGAGGGCTTCATGGTGTATGCGCATGAGAGCCGCCCATTCAGTGCCCGCGACCACGCCTTCCACGTCGGGGGCAACAAGTGCTCAAGGCGGACATCGTGGTGCCGGGAGAGACCCTTGAACGGGGCGACGCCATCGAAGAGTTAAGTGCCCTGGACGCCGCGCAACCTTTCTGACTATGCACGGAGGGGCAGGGGCAGGTTCTAAGGGGGCAGGCGTCGGCATCTTCGGGTTGCGTGCGTTCTCGTAGTGCTGTCCGTCCTACGGTCGGAAGCTTTTGGCTAGCGCGTCGCTCCGCCAGTTTGGCCCACGTTTCGGCGCGACACGCCGCTACTCACATACGTGTCCGCGGGCGTCCGTGTCCCGAGTTTTGTCCGAGCTTCCCGCTCCGCGCAGCGGAGCGACGCGCTATCCGCCTGCAGGGCACAGCGTGCCGCCGTGGTCCTCGCAGCGACAGGCTCAGCGCCAGCTCTGCGCGCAGCCTCCGCGTCATCTTTCGCGCGGCTGCCCCGTCGCGAGGCGGCTCGCCGCGCGCGCAGCGCCATTCGGTGGGTCGCCCGCGTCTGCCGCGCGCGACGGGTGGCAGGTCGAGGCCCCGCAGTGCGCGCGCAGCGCTCCCTCGCTCGGGGAGCGTCGGGGGCGTCGGGTCCGAAGCCATGCGTCGATTCGAACCGAGAGGTCCTCTGCTCCGATTCGAAGCGGCTCGCGGCCTCGGCTCGGGTTTCCATTGAGCCCCTGCCTCGAGGCGTCAGCCCAGGCAGCGACGAGATCACGGAGGCGGGGGCTGACGAATCGAGGGTGTCCGGGTCCACAAAGGAAAACAGTTCAAGAGTTCGTGGCGTCAGACCGCACGAGGGATCAAGCCGCAGAAGGGGGGGACACCAGAGGGCGGAGCGGCGGTCGTGGCAGACGCGAGAGCGGTGGGGCAGGGGCGCAGCATCGGTGCCGCTGGCAACTCGAACACTGGTCGCCGGCATGGGCCCGATAGCCCCAACCTGCCCAGGAACGTGCGGATCCACGATTGGGGGCCTATCGCCGATCTGTAGGCGATGTATCGCCCGTTCGAGGTCGGTGTTCCCCCCACTGTGCCTATCCCCCGGTATTGTTGCACCTCAACCTTGGGGGAAGGGGGGGTCTGGCCAGGAGAGGGAGCAGGGTCGAACTTGAGCGGGAGGTTGGCAGGGACGGGAGATGTCAAGCAGCAGTTGCCTTCGAAAGATCATGGGCGCGCCTGCGGGGCTGTCAGAGATGACCGCCGCGGGATACCCAAACAGGCAAACGACTGCACACACCGATCCTGGGACAGTGTCTGTGCTGTCTTGTGCTCGCGGCGCCCGAGACTCTGGGTCGGCGCACGTCGGGTTTCGTTCCGAATGTGCTTACCTAATCTTGGCGGCGCTCCACGTTGCGGTTCGTCGCCCTGCAAGCGCCCAGGACATTGACCCGTACAAGGTTCTGGCCCATGCGAGAACACAAGCACATGTAGGAGTCCGTGCTCACAAATACGTCGCGGTCGTTGTCCCCGTTTCCGTCGTCGTGTCCGTCGCCCTCGCCGCCGTCCTCGTACGCAGGTTTTCGCTCGTCGTCGTCGTTCGTCGCCGCCACCCTCCCTTGGGCGACGGGGCCTGCTAGGGGGCTACATGTGAACCCTACCCCTACCCCCCACGATTTCCGAAGTGGAGGGTGGGTTCACTTCGTTCGGGAGCTCCCGAGCGAAGTGAACCCCACCCTCCCCTCAAAAAATCCTGGAGGGTAGGGGTAGGGTGCACATGTGGCCCCCATACCTGCACACGTCCACCGCCACCAGCCAGGCCCCGTCTGGGCTCGGAGGCGGTGCACACGAAGCTCCAGGGCCGGGCCAGGAGGGCGCACGGAGCATTCCCGGATCCTCCTCCTCCTCCTCCTCCTCCTCCTCCTCCTCCTCCACCCCGCCTCCTCCCCCCCCCGCCCTCCTCTGCCTCCTCCCTCCTCCTCCTCCTCCCTCCTCCTCCTCCTCCTCCTCCGTCTCCTCCTCCTCCTCCTCCTCCTCCTCCTCCTCCTCCTCCTCTTCCAGGGGGCAGTGGCACACCGTTCGGCGGCGAGCGGGGGGGGGAGGCGAGAGGGAGATGGCCTTCCAAGGCGGTGGCGGGGCTTCTCAGAGGCCTGCGCGCCATCTGACCGAGAAGTTGATGTGTGTCTTCGGGGGAGGCCTGGAAGGCTTCTCAGAAGGCCGGGGGGCTTCCGAGCCTTCTGAGAAGGCCTTCTCCTTCGCACTTCCCCGTCCCCAGAGTCGCCGCCGAACCGAAGGCGCCTCAAGCACGAAGTTTGCCTGCCAGCAGGTGCCCGCAGAAGCTTCCTATCCCCTGGGCGGCCCAAGGAGGCCACGGGGCACCTCTCATTAGCTCGACGACAAAACGTTCCTTTACGTAGACGTCTCATAGCAAGATGTAGGTGAGTAGCACTCCCGCACTTGCGGATAAGAATGGCAGGGTGGCGGCGCAGGCGAAGGCCAAGTGTTTGAGCAGGACATCGATCACAGAATCAATGTACCCCGAAATTGATGTTCCGTCGAGTCTGCGAACCATGCGCAGAGTGCCCCGTAGATCCGCCAGGCGTGCGACGCACTCCTTCGCAGAGTGTCGACGGGAGAAGTCGGTGTCGGGGTAACGCGCAGCCCTGCAGCCGCCCCCACTGGCCCGCCCCCGACGCCGTCGCCCCCCTGCTCCTGGCCCCAGCGTGCCGCCCCCCGCGCGATGTGCCGCCCCCGGCGTGTCGCCCCCGGCGTGTCCCTCGGCATCGCTCGGACGTGTGCCTTTTTCCTGCGGCGAGGGCCATCGAGGAGCACCCTGGACCACTTGGCGACAAAGCCACGCACGAAACAGAAAAAAACACACCGGGAATGGACGTCCGAGCGATGGCCAGGCCCTGCCGCCCCAGGCGCCGCCCCCGCCCAGCAGACCCCCTGCGGCCAGGCCGCGCGCACGGGGCGCGCGCACCGCGGGGGAGCCCAATGCCGAGCGACGCCCGGCGGGCCTTCCCAGGGCGCCCCTGGGCGTCTTGGGCTCTGGATGGCTTCAGCCACGGGCAGCGTGACGTTCCCGCGCCGGGCATCGGCGGACGTCCTGGGGTCTCGGGTCCGGGTGTCTCGTGGAAGGTTTCTGTTCTGGTCTGGCCCCTGCTGTAGGGCCGTTCGGGCCTCTCAACCCCGATCGTGTGCTGGTGCTGTGTGCCTGGATCTCGCCGACCCCCAGACCCCCGACGCCACGATTTTTGTTGTACCAACCGTCCTGTGGTATTGGGTCTTCGTTTTGATGAGGCAGCCCCCCGCGTTGCTCGCTCCTTTCTCCTCCGCCTCCTCCCTCCTCCCATCCCTGCCTCTGTCCTCCGCGTGTCAACCATGCGGCACATCCCTCACACACTTCGTGGCCCCGCAGGGAGCTCCACCGGAGGCCCCAGTGGCAAAGTTCGCATGTGTTCCCCCCCCGCCCGGTACAGCGTCTTGTGGCTCATAGGGAGTTTCACCGAAGGCCCTAGCGGCGACGTTCGCAAGCGTCCCCCCACCGAGTATAGCGTCTTGTGGCCCCATAGGGGTCTCCACCGATGGCCCCAGTGGCCGAGGCCGCATGCGTCTCCCCCATCCAGCACAGCGCTTCGTTTCTCCATATGGAGGAGCACCGAAGACCCCAGTGGCCGTGGTCGTATGGGTCTCCCCCACTCATTCTGGGACACCCATCACGGGCGGCTTCGTGGCAACATGATGAGCTTCACCGAAAGCCGTAACCACAACGCGGTATTCACAGCTGCATATGGTTGGGTCCTTCGCCTGGATAATTTTAGAACGTCGACCTCTGCAGGTCTTGACCCATTCCCCTAGACAGTTTTTCATTCAGGATTGCTTTTGACGGCCCCGAGGTCCGGTAGAACCCCCGAGAGGCCGAAACCAACGCAGAACCTCTGTCTCCTGTGTTGTCAGGACGGTCGATGTCTGGGCAGCGCGTCTCCGGACCTCGCCGCCCCCACGGCCCGATGCCCCTCGGCTGGCCCGGCACCGCGCGGTGCTGCCCGGGAGGACTGCCGCACGGCGCTGCACCGCGCCTGCTCCGCGGGCCACAGGGAGGCGCGAGGGGGGGGGGCGGGCAAGAGTTTGAGCTTGGCATCGCTCGGACGTGTGCATGTTTCATTCGGCGAGGACCATCGAGGAGCACCTTTGATCATTGGGCGAAAGAGCCACGCGCGAAACTGAAAGAAACACAGGGAATGGACGTCCGAGCGATGGCGAGGGGGGGGGGCCGGGCAAGAGTTCGAGGCGCTCCAGGGAGGGCCCCGCCGTCGAGGGCGGGAGGGGGGGTGGCACGGGGTCCGGCAGGCGGCAGGCGGCGGAGGGGTGGCGGAGGCCCGCGGAAGTACAGGTTGCCCTCCGCCGGCGGCAGGCCCGCGGCAGGCCCGCGGAAGGAAAGGTGGCCCTCCCAAGGGATGGCCACGCGCGTCCAGATCCTCTGCGTCCTGGGTGTTCTGGGAAGGGGCGCCAACGGGCGCAGGCGCAGTGGGTATGTGTGTAGCATGCTGGCCTCCGGGGGCCCTGGGTGTTTCTCTCTAGATCCACCGCGCCTCGGATGTCTGGGGATGGGAGCCCGAAGCTCCAAGGTGCAGTGGACGTGGATGTGCGTCTTGCCCGCAGGGGGGGGATGGGGGGAGGTGCGCCGCGGGCCGAGAGGGGCTCCTCGCTGGGGTGGCGCAGCATCAGCAAGAGCTTGGCCTGCAGGCAGGTGCGAACGCACTCCGGCCAGGAGCCCAGGCCCCCTTGGGGCACGAGAAGAGCGCGGCGGCCCGCGTCTCGCCACCTCCGGCCTCGGGGTGCCCTCACTGGCTTCAGGGCCGCCGAGAAACGGTTCCGTGCGAGACTAGACACTTTTTTGATCTGCAGGGCGATAGCGAGCCTCTTGCGCGAAAAGCTCCGCGGCCCGAGCACAGCTTTCATGGACAGAGAAGGGGCGGTAGCAGGCGGGGCCTCGCGCGGCCAGAAGCGGGCGAAGCCCGGGGATCGGGCGGTGCCGAACGGGCCCGTGCGAGAAACACGTCCCGGGGAGCATGGGTGTGAGGGTCGTTCCCGAAGTGAGCGGTTGCCCCCCATGCGGCCAGGCCCGCTGAGACCGTGGGTGGAGCTCCCTGCGGGGCCACGGAACGTGCGAGGTGTTTGCCGAAGCAGGGATATGCGGAGTGTGGCAGAGGCAGAGAGAAGAGCCTGGGAGGGGGAGGAGGAGGAGGAGGAGGAGGAGGAGGAGGAGGAGGAGGAGGAGGAGAGGAGGAGGAGGAGGAGGGCCTTTCGTGGTCCAAGGCATGACAAAAGCATGGCCTCGGGGGTCTGGGAGCCCAGCACGTGAAGCCGGCCGTGGCGACGCGGGCCCCCCCCCTGGGAGTCCCCGGCAGCCGCCAGCAGAAGGAGCCGCGCAGAAGCCCCCCTTTCTCCCCCTCCTTCGCTCTCCTCCTCCTCCTCCTCCTCCTCCTCCTCCTCCTCCTCCTCCTCCCTTCTCCTCCTCCTCCTCCTCTTCCTCCTCCTCCTCCTCCTCCTCCTCCTCCTCCTCCTCCCTTCTCCCGAGAGAGCAGCGTGGCCCATGCCGCGGATGGGCAGGAGGATCAGGTAGCCTTGCAGCGCTGCCTGATTGTCGTGCTCCTCCGCGGGATTCGCTTGTCTATCGCTCGTGCGTGCCCACGGGATTGAGTGTCGCTCGTGTGTCCGCTCCAGATTCGCTCGTGTGTTGCTCCACTCGCTCTGGAACAATTCGCTCGCATGCCCCGTGGGACACACCAGCCAGTCGTTCCAGATGTCTCTCTTAGGGCGCGGTCATTTGGGGACGCCCGCGGCGCGCTGTGGCATCCGCGCCCGAGTTTGTTCACGGTTTGCCACTGGCTTCGAAAGGGGAGGAGGGAGACAGGAGGAATGGGGCCCAAAGGTGGCTTCAAAGGATGCTAGGAAGCTTGGGGACTCCAGGAGTGAAGAGGAGCAGGAACAGCAGATGGAGGAGGTAGGAGGTACGACAGGAGGTAGGAGGAGGAGAGGAAGGCAAAGGAGGAGGAGGAATGAATGTGGGGGCGAAGGAGGGGGAGGAGGGGGTGAAGCCCGAGGAGGGAGAGGAGGAGGAGGAGGAGGAGGAGGAGGAGGAGGAGGAGGAGGAAAAGGAGGGGGAGGAGGAGGAGGAGGAGGAGGAGGAGGAGGAGGAGGAGGAGAGGAGAAGAGAGTTGGAGGAGGAGGATTTCGACAGCGATCTGATGAGGAGGGGGGGGGGGGGCGATGTGGGGGGAGGAGCAGGTGGATGAGATGGAGAAGGCGGAAGCGGAGGAGGTCGAGGACACGGGAGAGGAGGGGGAAGGCGGGAGGAAAGGGAACGACTGCAGATAAGGACGGCGAAGGCGAGGAGGAAGGATGGCGACGAGCCGAGAGGGGGAGCCAGCTGGGGGGGCCGGCCGAGGTGGCGGCGTTCCTGATCTCCAAGGCCCGCGGGGATGGGGCTTCGGGGAGGCGCCGCCGTTATTGGATTAAGTGTCGTTCCCTGGCGTATATTTGTGCTGTTCCAACCTACAGCCTTGTTCACCAGAAAGAATTTCGAGCGCCAGAAAAGTACCTAAACATTTGAGGGTTTTCACGTGTCGGGCCCTGGGAGACACTCGTCCGACACTGTTTCGACACTAGTTATTTCGACACTCTTTCGACACTTTTCCGGGTGCTCGAAATTATTTCTGGGATGTGGTTCTTAAGTTATTAAGTACGATGGGAGCAACATCTGTAACATAAGCGTATATAGTTGCCCGCCTCCGGCCCAGCCCTGCAGGGACCGAGGAGAAACAGCGCATCTGATAGTCCAAGTGCTCCTTCTCGTGCCCGGGGACAGTGCAAAACCTGAACTCTCCGCGAAGAAGACCCGGTCCTGCGGATGGGGTCGAGAGCCAAGCGGGGGCCCGTGTCGTGAGCCAGCATGTCGGAGGTATGGGGGGGTAAGGAGTGGCAGGATGAAGGGTAAAAGGATACCAGTTTGGAGAGCGTCCGGTTGACTTTGCATGCTTCCTGATGGCCATTGGAGGCTGTCGGGTCAGGGGGGAGCAGAGTGAAGAGGTACTTTCCTCCTAAATCCCTCCTCCTCCTCCCCCTCGTTTCGCTTCTTTTCGTTCAGTAAGTGGTGCCTCCGCCTGGCGCGCCTGACTGCACGCTCACCCGTCCCAGGTGCCTGCGGCGCACGCGCCCTGGCGGCCCCGGCGTCACGGCGTCCTCCTCCTCCTCCTCCTCCTCCTCCTCCTCGTTTCGCTTCGTTTCGTTCAGTAAGTGGTGCCTCCGCCTGGCGCGCCTGACTGCACGCTCACCCAGCCCGGGTGCCTGCGGCGCACGCGCCCTGGCGGCCCCGGCGGCACGGCGTCGTCGTCCTCCTCCTCCTCCTCCTCCTTCTCCTCCTCCTCCTCCCTTCCTCCTTCACCTCCTTCTCTTGTGGCCTCCTATCCCTAATGTGTGATCTCCTCCTCCCTTCTCCTCCAGATGCCTCCCCTCCCCCTCGGAAGGGGGGAGGAGCGGGGGAAGGAGATACCGGGAGGAGGTGGCGGGAGGAGGAGGAGGAGGAGGAGGAGGAGGAGGAGGAGGAGGAGGAGGAGGTGGAGGAGGAGGAGGAGGAGGAGGAGGGAAGAGTGGCGTGGTGTGTAACGCGGGGCAGCGGAGGGTGCGGACGTCGACCACGCGGACGAGGCGGGGTGGACGCCGCTGCACTCCTGCGCCAGCACTGGCGCGCTGCCCCCTTCCTCCCGCCCGCCAGCCCCCCCGCCCCCGCCAACGTCTCAGCATCAGCATCGTGTAACCGATCCCTGTTCCCCACTGGGCCATGGCACCTCGGCCCCACCAGCCTGCCACCAGGCTCGGCGGAGCCCAGAAGGAGACAGCAGACATCCCCCTCCAAGGGGGGGCAGATTCGTCAGTGGGGTCACGGCCATTCCAGTGCGGAGTGGGGTCGCTTGAACGGTGCCCCCGTGCCCGCGTGCTCCTGCCTCCCTGAGGAGCTGGGGGTTGGGACGGGGGGGGGGTCGGACGGGGCTGGCACGAGGATAGATCCGTTCCAATGCGTTCCGGAACGCTCTCAGAGCGTTCCCGAACGCTCTGAGGAGGCCGCGACGCCCGGTTCATCCTCCAGAGCCGCCGGATCTCAGAGATTCTCGAGTTGTCCTCGCCCGATTTTGTCATCGCCCTGGCTTCGTCCTCGGAACACAGAGGAAGCATCTCGCGCAGAAGCGTTGCTCAACACGGCGACCCCATGTGCGCAGGCTCCTTGCCATGCTAGGTATTCAGAGGAGGACAGGGTACCCACACTGCTATACCCTTCCCTCGGTTTCGCTCTTTTGGGCCTCCTGGCAGGCCCTCGTCGCCACCGCCGGATTCGCCTCGAAGTTTTGGTCAGAGTGCACCCTGGGAGAGGTTTGGGGAGGAGCGGTCCGGGAGTAGCGGCATCGGTACCCTTTGGCATACCCCAGGGGGCTCGTGCTGCCGGTGTCACGCCACAGCCTCGCACTCCACCCACCTCTTCCCCCGCTCATTCGCACGCAGAATCGCTCGCACCCGTACCCGCGCTCAGACGCCTCCTCCGTGACGATCAATCATTGATATCATTCAGGAGTGAAAGAAACACACAGACAACATTTCATCGTCGACTCCCAGAACATATGGGGAAATGTGGGAAGTGGGGGGGGAAAAAAAAAACCAAAATATGGAAACATATGGGGAATCCTTTTCCTTGTGCGCGGAATCTTCGATTATAGAGGCTAAACAAAAACAAGCAATGGTCAATGACCCCCCCAAACCAAAAAAACGTACTCGCGCTCGGACGCAGTCGTGCTCAGACCCGCTCGTATTCAGACCTTTCGTGCTCAGACTCACTCGTACCCAGATTCGCTCATACGCAGACTCATTCATAGCAGTTGCCAAGGTTCGGAACACTCATACTCGGATCCACTAGTGCCCAAATTCGTTCACATTAATTTCGCTCGTATTCAGACCCATTCACACTCCGACTCTCTCGTGCTCAGACTGCCTAGCACTCAGACCACGTACGCTCAGGTCTACGCATACACAGACACACTCAGACTCAGACTCGCTCGCACGCGTGCCGTTCACATACGAATCCCCCTCATACGCAGTCAAGTTGTACTCAAACTCCCCCTCGCACAGACCCCTCGAACTTCGATCACTCACACATGCCTTCGCGTACTCGTAATCACTCACACCCTGACAGCATGCGTGCACTCCAAGAGGGAGCCGCCGTCAAGGGGGGTCACACCTGCTCGCGCGCACATTGCGGGGATTTCAAACGCCAACAGGGCCATTGCACCCCCCACTCACTTTTCTCGGTATCGTTCGGACGTATGCATTTTTTGTTGGCGGGGACCATCGAGGAGCATCCTGGATCATCGAGCGAAAAAACACGCGCGAAAGCGATCAATGCACGGGGAATGGACGTCCGAGCGATGGCGAGTGGGAATGCGATGTTGCAGGCGTACTAGCACACCCCAAGGTTGAGCCACCATGGTGGGTGCTACACTTGTCCGTTCGCGCCCAGATCGTGTAACGGTCTCGAACAAGACGCCCGTTTCCCCCACCCCCCATCCCCCCCCGATTTCCTGTTTCTTCAGAGCCCCATGGTCTCCGCGATGTAGCAGGCACACCGGTGCTACGCTTTTCCATTCGCGCCCAAATGGCGGGGAGGTCTAGAACGAAGCGTTCGTTCGGCCCTCTCCCGACGCTTTGCTTTTCAGAGTCCCGTGACCACCGCGACGCAGCAAGCGTAGCACCCGGGCACCCCAAGAGGGAGCCACCAGGGGGTGTTAATCATCCTCGGCCTGGCCTTACTTGCGGGGACGTCTAAAGCGAAACGCGTGTTTGCCCTTACCCACCCCGACCCCTCTCTTTTCAGAAGTCCCACGCCGAACGGGATGTAACTGGCGTAGTACTTGGGCACTCCACGGGCTGGCTACCAGGGGTGGTACACTTTCACGTCCGCGTCTAGATTGCGGGCAAACGCTCGTTTGGACGCCCCCTTGCCTTTGCCCTTTCAACGCCCCGTTAGGGTGCTGACATGCTATGGCTGCTACATCGCGATGATCATGAGGGAGTCTGAGAGTGAGGAGCGAGTATGAGTGGGTCAGAGTTTGAGTGGCAGAGTGTGTGTGTGTAAGTCGGAGTGGTCGTGAGTCGTTGTATGAGTGAGTCTCAGTGTGGATGAATGATCAGAGTGCGAGGGGTCTGCGTATGAGACTGATCATGACACATCCGACTCTGCGTGGAGTTGGCTGAGTGGTTGGAGTGCGAGTGCATCCGAGTGTGAGTGAGTCTGAGCATGAGTGGATATTGAAGCGTGTGTTGTCTGAGTGCATGTGAGTCTGAGTATGAGTGAGTCTGACTGTGATTGTGTAGGGCCATGGCGGGATTGAGTGAGTGAGTGAGTGTGAAGCGGAGGCGTCCTACTATTAACAAGAGCCCCATAATCATAATCTGGGGATGGGGAAGACAAACATATCGACAGGGGGTACACGAGAGCACAGGGCGGCGGAAGGGGAAAGTGAAGAGGCATGACGGACAGCATGGAGATGAGAGAGAGCTGGATGGGAAGCGGGGGAAAAGAGGGAGAGGAGGAGGAGGAGGACGAGGAGGAGGAGGAGGTGAGGCACCTCGAGCCTCGAGGATCGAAGGGAATGAGTATAGTCTTCCCCCCGCAGAAAGAAACGCAGCAGTTGAAGCTCGCTGGGGGGCAGCAAACGCGATCTGTATTTCTGGGGCGAAGGAGGAAGGGGTACTGCTAGTAGGGTAAGAGCAGACCTAAGCAGCCCTATCGTTGGTGAGAGCAAAGTGATCGTTTTCTTATTCATTGTTTTGCCGATTGGCGCGGGCCCTCGCCCCCTCCCCCTCCCCCCCCCACGGAGTAGATCTTGGCTGTTGTTTACACCTGTTTCAAGCAGGTGGAGTCTCCCACATAGGACGCATTGCTGCAAGCAGTCGCCCTAAGCAGAGGACCGGAGCCAGGCCTCCCCATGTCGAAACGCCGAATAGGAAACCTTTCGCAATCCTGCGACTGGCGGTCGTGAGGATGACTGTTGACGGATCATGCGCGCCGGCCGAGCGTGTTGGGATCTGGCCCTGGAACAGTTGGACGCCCGAAATGGGTACAATGCCCAACAGCAAATGATGTCCCAAACCAACAGCGGCCGCTGTTGGTCAGGCGGCCTTCTGTCTCGAATGGACACAGGCCGCGGCGGCGTGGACAGCGAGTCCTGTTCAGAATGGACAGGCACTGCTGTTGGGCATTGTTCCCAGTCTTTCCGTACCCATCTCGGGCGTCCAAAGGAAACGGCGTTCCCGCCCGTCCACAGCGACATCCAGTGCAGCAGGACCTCTCCTGGGCCGCGGGGTGCCTTCGGGCCAGAATCTCGGAGGGGGGGAGAGCCCAGCCGTGGCCATAAGAGGACGCTCCGGGAGCCCCCAACGAGGGACCAAAAACGCCCAAAGACTCTGTGCCACGACTCTCTGATGGGCCTGTTTTCCACCACCACCACCACCACCAGAAAGATGGAGGGGGAAAGCAGGTGGAGGATGAGAAGGAGGAGGTGGAGGAGGAGGAGGAGGAGAAAGACGAGGAAGACGAGGAGAAGGAGGAGGAGGAGAAGGAGGAGGAGGAGGAGGAGGAGGACCCCCTCCCCCTCCTCCTCGTGCTGGTGGCGTTGGAAGACAAGCCCATCACACTCCGCCCGGCCCGCCCCCCCCCTCCCCCGTCATCCCACGTCAGCGGGCATGCGCAGCCTCCTCGTCGACCTCCTCGTCCTCCTCTGGGGCCGGCTGCAGCAGAGATAAAGCCCCCCTCCCATCGGTTGGGAAGAGGGTGATCTTCATGTGACCCTCGTGGCTCCTTGGAGTCCCCCAGTTCCCCACTTTGAGCCCCCCCCGCCCTCCCCGCGCAATCTTCCCCCGCTCTCCGAGCAGAAACATGGACCACCGCCACCGAGACCACTCGGGGGGGCGGTCAGACGGGGCTACGACGAGGATAGATCCGTCCAGAGCGTTCCGGAACGCTCTCGGAGCGTTCCGGAACGCTCTGAGAAGGCCGTGGCACCCGAGACATTTTCCAGAACCGCTGGATCTCAGAGATTCTTGACTTACCCTCCCCCGATTTCCTCCTCGTCCTGGCTTCGTCTGGGGGGGGGGGGGGGGCGACCCCTGGGAGGTTGCACGCCCACGAGTCATATCACGCAGCGGGTGGGGGGGCGGCGCGCCGCGCGCACGCAGGCCGCGCCGAGATCGTGGAGCTGCTGCTGGAAGGCGCACCCTCGCACCGCGCAGGGGGGGGCGCAGTGGAGGGGCGGGGTGGGAGCGGGAGGAAGAAGAGGGAAGAGCGAGAAGGGGGAGGAGAAGGGGGGAGGGCCAAGGAGTTTTGAACCGAAGAAGAACAAACAGCATAAACATAAACTCCTGGCGCTCCGCGCGCATTTCTTGGATCCGCGCTGGGGCCCCCTGGGCGGCGCCTCGGGCGCCGCCCCCTGGCGCGCTCCGCGCGCCATGGAGGGGGTCCAGCGCAGATCCAATAAATCCGCGCGGGCCGCCACAAGTTGTTGTTTATGCAAATTTATGCAGTTTTTTGTTCCTCTAGAGAATGGGGGAGGGCCCAGAAGTCTTGAATTGGTAATTTAGGAGAGGAGGCGTGCACTTGCCCGTTGTCATCAGGACGAGTAAGATTTTTGTTCTTTGCTTGTTCCGTCGAATGCCTCGGGCACCTCGGTATCTGGAAATGAATGAATGGAGGAGGGACAAGGAGGCACGAGGGATAAGGGAGGCGGGGGAGGGGAGGAGGAGAAGGAGGAGGAGGATGACGACGAGGAGGAGGAGGAGCTGCGCCTGGACAAAGAGATGAGGATGAGGTGTGAAGGGAGGGAGGGTCCCATCATGAGATTCGTCGCCGTGGGAAAGGTTTCGCTTGAGGTGCATGGTATGGCTGGACCGTGAGCGCACGGGTGCGGCCCCGGCTCTGCCCCCATGCAGCGGTCTTCCAAAGGTCTTCCAGCGTTGGAGTGGGCTGAGTCTGAGGATGGCACGTCTCGCGTACTCTGTCGCGCATGGCGTGCGAGGCTTGGAAGTGCGAAATTCCTGCGTCTGGCTGGAGAGCGTCTTCCTGGCGCCCTAAAGCGAAGACGCGGTACGCTCCTGGAATCCAGCGCGTCTTCGGCCGCCGCATCCTCATGACGTAGGAGGAGGCGAGGACGCTGCGTGTCCACTCGGCCTCCTTCCCGCTTGTTTGTCTTCGCTGCTGACCACGCAACGCGGGATCTATAGGTCAAAAACGGTTCACCGAACCTCCGCCCGAAAAAAAATTAGATTACACCCAAAAGCCCTGGGGGGTCAGCGAGGGTCCTGGTCGGGGGTTTGGCATACAAGTTACCCTCCCCGGAGCGTGGTGTTTGTACAGTCAACGTGGCCCCGGGCGGTGGAGTCCGACTGGGTCTGGGAGGGCGTGGTATGCAGAAAAATCTCGAGGACGGAACCGAACCAGAGCAGTCGATCGAGAAAGTTGCCAGGCCCGGCCCGGGGGGGGCTGCCTGCGCGGCGCCGCACTGCGCGGCTTGGTGTCCAAAACCAGGCGTCCCGCGCGCCGCCTACCCATAAGTCGGGCCTATCACTCTACAGGAGGAATCTTCCGAAATTGCAAAAAATTGTCTGGGGACGATTGTTCGACTACTTTTGGCTCTCTTGGAATATCTTTAACTATTTTCCATTTTTCCTCCAAACTCCGCCTGTCGGGGGACATGCCCGACCGAAGCCCACCCAGAGGCGCGACGAGAGGACTCGCCCTGCGCCTCCTGGGGGGAGAGGAGCAGAGGACAAGTCATCCGGGCTTGAGAGGCGGGGGTCGGTGCAGACGGGGGTCAGCCAGAGTGCCGGACCGGGCAAGATCCCGCTGAGCCACGGACGCATTGGCCTGGGCTTGCGCGCAGGACCATGCAGGATTCTGCTGGATCCTGCGCGGCCTGACGGACCCGCGTTTGCATTGACCTGGATCAGCAGGTCCCCCTTTTGCCTCCTCGCAATCGCCGCCGCCGCCGCCGAAACCGACCACGCGGAACGAGTTTGGGGAGGTTTTGTGGTGTTGGCCAGCGGCGAGTTTGCGTCCATCGCGCCCCTTCCTTGACGCAAGAAGCGAGGCACCAGACCCGGGAGTGGAGCCCGAGCAATGCCTGCCGGGCCCCAGGCGGGCGCGGGGATTTGAATTCGTCGAAGCGTTCGGAGCCGAGGTCACCGCCGGGCCTCTGCCCCGAGGACTTTGAGCGGCACGCGTCTCGTCAAGACGCGCTCGGCCACCGCTCTGGCCTTCGACTGCTCGGACCGAGGGTGCAAGCGCACGTGAGCTTGCCGCTCGTTTCAGCGCCCCCCCCCCCCCCCCCCCCCCCCCCGCGGGGCGCGCCCAGGCGTGCGAGAAAAGGGCCCACGCCCTGCGACGGGAATGCAAGCGCTCGCGCTGCTAAATTTAAGTCGGGCCTGTCCCTCTACAGGAGGAGTATTCAAAAATAGTACGAAGATAGTCTGGGGACCATGTTTGGGGCATGTTTTGTTCATTTTTGATTTTTTGTGGGGTATGAAATCCTTCTGTAGGGGAGACATGCCCGACCTAATGCGAAGTGGACAGTCAGCATTGCATATGTTTGTCTTCCCTGAGGTCGATGGCAAACATGGATGCTGCAGAACATGTTTCTCCTCGCCGCCCTCCCCTCTGCTGCTCGCTGCTGCCCCGTGGCCGGACTTGCTGTGACCTGTCAGGGCCTCCGCCGGCCTCAGTTCTGCTCAGGAGATGGATTTGCACAGTCAGCCCGTGTGCCGTCCCCGTGCGTGTATATACTCTCTACGTATCTTACGGCACACGTGGGAGAATCAAGCGTGAAGTGTTTCAGGCGCTTGGGTTACGAATGCATCTGAGTTTGTGCCCTGACGGCAACTGCTGACAGCTTCATCGTTCCCAGTGTCATTGAAAAGGTCAGCTCAAGTGAAAGCAGCATCAACTGCCTCCTCCCGCCCCACTGTTGCTTGACATTGTGTTCGCGGTGCGCTTATCGCATAAAACACCATTCATCGACAAATCAGCCTCCCAATCAAAAGCGATGTGTTGTCGTCACAAGCGCCCGGACTTCTGGCTACCAGTGTTGATCACGGAGTGGGAGAAGGGGGTACGGGGAGAAGCGGGAAGATGGACTGAGGGCGGCGAAGAGGAAGAGGGTGAGTAGGGGAGGAATTGGAACGTGGAGCGGAATGAAGAGCAGCAGGAGAAGGAGGATGATAATACTCTTTGAAGCAAGAACGATGAGTTGAGGATGAGCTGACGTCGAGAACGAGTAGCGAGCAGGATGTGTGAGGAGGGTGGCGGAGGGCAGGGAGGGCTCGGAGGCGGAGGTAGAAGGTGCGAAGGGGATTTCGACGTGAAGAAGTCCGAGCGTTGGCGCGCGCGCGCGCGAGGCGCGCGCGCGAGGGGCGCGACATTGCCCTCGACTTTGAGACTGAGCGCGCGCGAAGCACACCCTTAATCCTGCTGCGCCGTGTGCCTCAGTCTCTCTACGTCGTCGTCTTCGTCCCGCTCTCACCCTTCGTCCGTCTCAGAGCTACGGGCTCCTCAGCAAGCGTTTGGGGGGGGGGTCGCGTGGTGCTGTCCTTCGCGGGGCGCGGGGGGGGGATCGCTGGAGAGGGTGTGTTCGGTGGGCTAGGGGGGGGGAACGGGCCGTCGGCCGTGTATGGCATGGGTGCGTATGCGCGCGCGTGTTCGTGCGTGTGCGTGTGTGCGTGTGTGTTGCGTGTGTTTTTGTCTAGCAGTCCGAAGCGTCCTCGCCTTAATGCCCCCCACTTCCCGCTCTTCCTCATCAGGGTCGTACCCATCCCCGTTCTCCTCCAAGGTTTTGTCGCGTCCTCGACTCGGTGATCGCGCCTGCGTGTGTGCTCGTCCTCATCGCCTGCGTCCTGGTCCGTAAATGTTATACACATCGTTACTCTCGTCAGTGTCCTCGGCCTGACCCACCCTTGCAGAGGAAGTGGCGGGAGGAGGAAAGACATTCGGAGCACCGAGAGAGGGAGGAGGTGGAGGAGGAGGAGGAACGAAACAAAACAAACACCTGCCCACCCCCATCACCGACCGATTCTCCACCCCTTGTCTCTTCATCCTCTATTTTTTGACCTCACCCTCTGGGCCCAAAGGTGCTGTTGGCAGATGTATCGGAAGCAGCTTCTGTCAGTGTTGCGTTCGGAACCTTCAAAACTTTGCGGCTCGCCTGAGGCTGCCCTCTCAGATCTTCTCCTGAGTCACAGGTGGCTTCTCGGAAGGCCGGAGGGCTTTGAGAGGCCCCGCCGCTTGCTGAGAAGGCCTGCCCCCTCTCACTTTCCCCCCTCGGCGAGCCGCCGAAAGAAGTGGGCCCACGGCGAATTCTTGATGCGGGGTCCCTGGAAGTCCCGACCCTTTGCCCGAGGCCGGCCCGCAATCCATCCTGAGTCGTTGTATGACAATCCCAAGGCCCAGCACGGGCCCACAGAGTCTGAAAGCGGTGAAAAATGTCGTCCAGAGTTTTCCAATGCGTTAGGGAAAACTTGCGCCTAGTTTTGTTAAATACGGTGACGAAGTCGGGGAATAAATAATGGCGTAAACAAAGACTTTCGGAGGTCCGCACTGATCTTTCGCATCGGAAATGGACCCCCCTCCCCAGCTCGCGGAGCGCGCCAGGGGTGGCGCCGGAGGTGCCGCCAGTGGGCAGCAGCGCCGATCCAGGAAATCCGCGCGGACCTCCAAAAGTTGATGTCTATGTCATTGTTTGTTCCCTTGTGAAGAATCCGGCGGACAATTCCTCCTCCTCCTCCTCCTCCTCCTCCTCCACCTCCTCCTACTCCTCTTCCTCGTCTTCCTCCTCGTCTTCCTCCTTGTCCTCCTCCTCCTCCTCCTCCTCCAAATCCTCCTCCTCCTCCTCCTCCTCCTCCTCCTTGTCCTCCTCCAAACTCCTCCTCGTCCTCCTCAAACTGCTCCTCCAACTCCTCCTGCTCCCCCTCCCCCTCAGCTCGGCCCGCCCGGTGGCCGCTCGCTGCCGGGTGGAGGCCGCGCGGACGCGAACGCCGCCGTCTCCTCGGGGGCCACGCCGCTGCACTTCGCCGCGTCGAAGGCCCCCTCCGGGCGCCTCCCGCCCGCAGGGAGCCTTCTGCGGGGGCCCCCAAACGGGGTGGTGACCACTCCGTGCGGTGAGTCGGTGGGGATTCGGGGTCACCGCACGGTTTTGGGACCCGGGCCGTTTTCCGAGGATGTCTCGGGCGATTGGGGCATCCGAGGTCCCGAGGCCGTGCGGTGACGGACCGTGCGGTGAGGTCTTGGGGGATTTTTGAGGTCACCGCACGGTCTGTCACCGTACCGTTTCGGGACTCCGCGAACGTCTGCGGCCACGCGCAGGGAGGGGCAGGGGGAGAGGGGGGAAGGCTTCTCAGAGGCACCCCTGCTTCTCAGAGGGCGCGGGCCTCGTCTGCAGATGTGGGGGCTGGCGCCTCCGCCTCCTTCCAAGAAGCCCTCCCCCCCCCCGGGAGGGACGGGCCGCGCGAGACTCTCCAGGGGCCCCTCCGGCAGGGTGGCGAGCGCCAGCACGGCTGCCGTCGTTGCCCTGCACGGCGGGGGGGGGGAGGAGGGGGAGGGGCGCAGAGGAGGAGGAGGAGAAGGAGGAGGAGGAGGAGGAGGAGGAGGACCTCCCCATCCTCCTCCCCCAGCCTGCCTCTGCCTGTGCTGCTTGCGCGCGCCGTAAATTTTGGGGCGCGCCCCCGAGTTCGGCTCGTGGAGGGGTCGGGCCGCGCGGGCCCCTGGGAGATCCACTACAGAATTGGCGTCCACCAAGCATACTTTTCAGCAAAAATCATCAGCGTTCATGGAACTCGGATCTCGCCCAGGAAATTCGACTTCCGGGCCGGACCCTGGGCGTTCTCTTGGAGCTTCCCTTTTTGGTAGCCTGGCTTGAACTCTCTATTTGCTTGGGCTGAAAGTGTCTTACGGACGGGGCGCTGAAGGAGGACAGCTTTTCGTTGGGGATGGTCTCGGTGTTCCTTGATTGTTGTGCAATTTGCTTTAGGCTTCCCTAAGGTGTTCCATGGGAGATTGAAGCCTATCTTTTGGGAAAAAGGGGCCTCGTTCCTTATTTAGGGTTCCTTAGGGCAACGCCCCGACTGTAACTCTAAGCAGTGGTGTACCCCAGATCTTGTTACAGCAGCTACAGAACTTATAATATTGAGGTTCGTGGATCCACGGGACGTCGATGCCTTCTGTCGCAGAGTCGACGAAGAGTTCAATTCGGGCGTGCATCAGTTCTGTAGTCGAACTCCTACTCGAAAACTCCAGGCCACCCATACGGGAACAAACAGTGACATAGAACTAACAACTCTGGAGGAGGAGGAGGAGGAGGAGGAGAAGGAGGAGGGGGAGGAGGAGGAGGGGGAGGAGGGGGAGGAGGAGGAGGGGGAGGAGGAGGAGGAGGAGGAGGGAGGCTGAGACCTGCGCGGATTCCGCGGATCGGCGCTGAGCCGCCCCGCGGCGCCTCTTGGGCGCCCCCTGGCGCGCTCCGTGCCTAAGGGAGAGGGGTTCAGGAGGAGGAGGAGGAGGAGGAGGAGGAGGAGGAGGAGGAGAAGCGCCGATTCGAGAACTCAGTCCAGACCTTGGAGTGACTCTCTTTGTGTTATGGTTCGTTCCCCCATCCCAGATCGGGCTGGACGGGATGGTGTCCGAGGATCGCGCCGCATCGCCGAGGCGTCGGCGAGTGGGCGCGATACGGAGCCCAGTCTTCTCCGCGCTGGCGTCGGCGTTGCATCGGCGTTGCCGCGCGATCTTCCGACACCTTCTCTTCGGACCGCATCTAGGAAGCCTCTATCATCGGGGCCTTCGGTAGACCAGGACATCCACAAGACGCTAACAACCTAGAGGCTTGACTGGCACTCTTTTACTCTACGCGAGGCCGTGGCGTTCGGCCAACGGCATCTGGCAGTCTGCTCCCGAGAAAGTTACAGCTGTGGGTGGAACCATCCTCAATGTTTCGTTGCCTCCAGGTGGAATTCGCACTCCTTGTCAGCAATGCCATGGTTTAGGGGGCCCTGGGACAGTCACCCCCTGCCAGCTCGAGATCGAAGACGAAACAACTGCAAAAACTGAAATGTTCAACGGTCCGCGCGGATCTCTTGGATCTGCGCTGGACCCCCTCCCTGGCGCGCGGAGCGCGCCAGGAGCGGCGCCGGCTGCCAGAAGGGCCCAGTGCAGATCCAAGAAATCCGCGCAGACCGTCGAAAGTTGATGGTTGCGCATGTTTTGTCAGGAGGGTTTCCTCCTGCTTCTCCCCCTCTGCCCTCTTTTCCCTCCTGGCAGACAAGCTCGCCTCCCCTTGTCCTGGAAAGGGGGGGGGCTGGAGCCTGGAGAACTGCCTGGAAGTGTGCGTGTGTGTGTGTGAGTGAGTGAGTGAGTGAGTGTGTGCAGCGGCAGGCCCCCCCCCCAAGCAGAACAAGAGGAAGAGGAATGCTGCAGGTTCCCCCCCTCGCCCCGGCCCTCGTGACTGAGGGCAGGTTCAAGATCGTCGCTTCCCTCCCGGCCCAGGACGCGGTCGTCCGGGCCCTGGCTCGGCCGCTGCGGGCCTCCGCGGCGTCTTACCTCCGCGGGGAGCCCTCCTCGGGCTTCCGCCCAGGCCTCCAGAGACCGCGCCTTCCCTTGGAGGCTCGGGGCGCCCGCGCCCGCGCCCTCCCCGGCGGCGTCCTCCTCGCCCGCTCCTCTCCCCTTGGTCATTTGGGGGTCCCGCGCAGGTGGATACAAACAAGTTGAACTCTTGACCCAGCCCCCCCCCCCCCACCCCCACCCCAGGTTCAAACTTGGTCCCAGCACAGGCGTCAGATCAGAAGAAGCGTGAACCCCCCAGGGCCTCCGCGAGGCCCGACCCAGCTTCGGGCCCGGGGGGATGGGGGTGGCGGCGAACACGAGGTCGAGCCTGAAGGGGTTCTACCTCTTCGTCCCCTTACAGTGCCTCGGCCCCGCGTTCCTGATTGGAGGTGAGCTTCTTCCTCACGGCAGGTGCAATCAGACCCGTGCTGGCCTCGCCAACCAGCACGGTGTATGTGGGCAGCGTTTTCGTTCGCGGTCGTCAGAAAAAATCCTCGCCCGCTCTTCCTCTTGTTCAGGTCGAAGAAGAAAGGCTGAATAAGCATCAACTTTCGAAGCTCTGAACGGATTCATCGGATTTGCGCTGGGGCCCGCTGGCGGCGCCTGCGGCGCCGCCGCTGGTGCGCTCCGCGCGCCAGGGAGGGGTCCAGCGCGGATCCAAGACGTCTGCGCGGACACCCGAAAGCGTATGTTTGGGCATGTTTGGTCATCTTCTGTTGGGGGAAAGGGCGGGCGACGAGGAAGACACGGAGACAAGTTGCCGACGAAAAGAAGGCGGAGGACGATGATGGGGAACAAATGGGGACAGGCCAGTCTGGGGTCGGAAATGGCCTCCGCTTCTTCTCATTCTTCTCATGCCCCTCGTCGTCCTCTTTGCACTCATTGGTCCCCATGGTCCTTCTCATCACTGTCCTCGTCCTCCGCCTCCTCACCCTCCTCCTCCTCCTCCGCCTCCTCCTCCTCTCCCCTTCTCCACATCCCCATATTAACTCTCATCGCCGTCATCTTTTCTCATCCGTCTACACATTCCTAATCCTTTTCCTTCTCTTTCTTTGCTCCACGCTCTCTCGCCCTCTCTCTATCTTTCTCTGTGTTCCCCCTCTCCTATTTCTCTATCTCTCTCATCTATATATCTATATACCATGTATCAGGATTGCCTCGATGCAGTGGCGCCAGGATCCAGCGCAGACGGTGGGACCTCGTTGTTCACAGAGACTCCCCTGAAGAGCCATCATTGCACACTTGTTGGCAATGTCTGCGTCGCAGTCTATATGACCAAATTATATACCAGAGTTTCGTACACCTACGTTCTGTGTGTCACCCCCGCCGTTGCGGGAGCAGTTGGGACTCTTGTGGCATCTGAGCTGCTCTCTAGCGGCCGTGGCGGCCTCGCCGGGCGCGTCTGGGAACTCTTTTTTAGGGCCGCCTGGGCGCCTTTGAGCTATCCTTGAGGCCTCCAGCCCGCTTGTGCACCACGTCGGAGATCCGTCGAGCCGTCTAGGATGAGGAAGGAGGAGGAGGAGGAGGAGGAGGAAGAGATGGAGAGGAGGAGAGGAGGGAGGACGATGAGGGAGGGATGAGGAGGAAGAGGAGGGGGAAGGAGACGGCATGGATATCTCTCGGACACAAGCTAGGGCCTTCTGCGGCGGCGATGGCGGGGGTGCCCGAAGAGAGCTCCTCGGAGGGCGGCCAGGGCCACCTTAGCCTTTTTTTCGTCGCCCAACCCGCCTGTGTTGACACCTACGTGCAAGGGGGCGGCAAATCCGCTTCGCCTGTGGCTCGTTCCGCCTGCGCCCTTCGAGCACCAGGGGAACACAGATGTTTCGTTGCATGCTCAGTCGATCCCAGGCCCTTTGAGAGGCCGTCTTGGGCCATCTTGGAGAAGCACGTCTGACGAGGGGCTCTGGTGTTCGGGTCGTCCCTTAGGTCTGGGTTGTGTTACCAATCCGCGGCCGAGGCTTGCAGTGGCCAGACGAGCCGCTTCGTTCCTCACGCTGAGTTTCTTTTGGTGGCACGACGACTGTATCCCTGGCATTTGGGGAGGCCATATGGGGCCATCTTGAAGGCACATCGGCAATCCGGGGCTTCTTGGATGCATCTTTGGGCATCGGAGGTCTCTCGGAGCTCTGCTGGAGTTCTGATGTCTCTGTTGGGAGCTCTCTTCTGGTTGAGTCTCGGCGTACCGCTGTGCACGCCGCAAGGTGGATGCATGTTGCATAGAAGGCGTGCTCAGTACCCTCGCTGATTCCGGAGGTTGCCCGCTTCCTCTTGTCCTAGAGGGCCCCGGGGCCGCTTTTGAGCGACGGTATCTGGCACCAGGGAGGAGAGTGATGGGTACACAATTGCAGCTGGCAAAGCACTAGCGGATACCACTTGGGGAACCCACAGCATCGCAAAGCCTCTACAGTGAGCGATAGCACGATGCCCTCGGAGCAGAGGGCAGCAGCGAGGCACACAGAGGGACGAGGAGGGAGGAGGGAGGAGGAGGGAGGAGGGAGGAGGGAGGAGGAGGAGGGAGGAGGGCAGGAGGGAGGAGGGAGGAGGAGGGTTGGAGGGAGGAGGAGGGAAGCGTGGGCAGGAGAGAGAGGGTGGCGGACAACGGCGAGGGCGGCGAAGGGGGCGCAGGAGGGCCCCTCCCTCCTCCCCCCTCCCTCCTCGCACCAGGGCGGCGTCCTCGTCCTCCCCCGCGCCCTCTTCACGGGAGGGAACGGGAGGGGGTGGCCGGCCCTGGCGCCACGGTGGGACCCGCCCGACGGCACGCGGAGGAGGGCAGGAGGAAGGCAGGCCGACGGGGGACGGATCGGGGGCCCCGCAACGGCGCGATGACCACGCCGTGCGGCGAGTCAGCAGGGATTCGAGGTGGCAAGCGCTGCTCCGGGACTCGTCGGCCGTGCTCCGGGGACGCCTCGGGCGACCAGCGCCCCCCCGCGAGCTCCAGAGCAGGGCGACGACGGACCGTGCGGTGAGATCGGGGACGGGAGCGCGCGGTCTGTGAGCACAGGGCATCGGGACCTTCGGAGTGCGGAGACCGCCGTATATCGGAGGTGGACAGAACCCCCAACAGTGACACGTCGATTAGTGAAATGTCCGTTTTCGGTTCTCGAGAGGGCGCCGTGGCCGTTGTTTTCCAGGCTTGCGCCCGCCAGGTTTGGGCCTCAGGTCGTTTTCACTAAACCACGTTTTACTAAAGGGGGGTCTGTCCAACCCCGAGTATAGCTCGTGCCGGTCCCACACGCTTGGTGCGGAAGAGCACGTCTTTCAAACGAAGACCGTTTTCGCGCTCGTTCCGCACCTCGCCAGTCTCACCCCGATGCCTGTTGAGGTCAGGGATCGCTTTCCCCAGGTGAACCACCAACACGGCGGCGTCAGGGGGATGCACCATGGGGGGGCGTCCAGGAGGCATCACGGGGCGGCGTCAGTGGGGGGCGTCAAGGGGGTACGTGAACGGGCTGCGTCAAGGTGGTGACGCGCCAAGGGGGGGGGCGCTAAGGGGGTGCAGCAAGGGGGCGCGTCGAGGGCGTGGCGCGTCAAGGGGGGTCGTCCAGGGGGTGCATCAAGGGTTGTGGAGGACGATTGATGGAGAGGAAGCATGCTGCCGAATAATTCCCTGATATCTAAAACAATGTTTCGAACATTGGAAAATTGTTTTAGATATCTGGAACATTTTTGAAACATTTTTGAAATGTCTACACATTTTGAACACATGTTTCATTCAAAGATAGGGTTATTAGAGTGTCCATTGTCATGGCATCCACAAATCAATGGGGAGGGTCGAGCGTCAAGGGGGTGCATCATTGGGATGGCGCATCACGGGGGTGCATCCACAAGTGGTCGGCTGAGCCCCGCTGGACATTTTGCACACCTTGACCGCCCGCTCCTGGGTGGCCACCAGGCCCGACCCCGCAGCCCTGCTCGACACTTCGACTCGGCCATCGGCGCGTGGCGGTGTCCTCTTTTTGGCGCCAACTGTGGACGCGTGCTGTCCGCCCCCATCTCCTCCAGTAGATGGACAATATATTCGAACCCCTCCACATTCCAGGGAGATTCTAAATCACCCCCGCGCCCCCGACATCAATGTTGATCTCAGTGAAGGCGGTGCTTGGGGGTTCGATTATTTCTGTCCACTCACGCCCCCCCCCCGTCGCCACGTCATCAATATTGATTGCGGGGGGTCTGGGGGGCATCTTGGGCAACAGGGTTCGAATATGATGTCCATGTACGGTCCCTGAGAAAAAGGGGGAGCGCCAGGGTCACGCCGACGTGCTGCGGCTCCTGCTGGCGCACGGCGCCAAGAGGCCTCCGCCCCGGCGGGGCCCGCGGGCGGCGGCGGCGCTGACGTGTGCTCGAGCCCCCGAGGCCCCCCCCGGGGCTCGGCGGAGGAGGGCCCGTCCTTGGCATGGCTGCGTCGCGGCGAGACACGACGGGAGGGTGCTGGCCGTCTTCGGAGCCCCGTGGGGTGCCTCGCTGGGCCCCGAGGGGCGGTCTCAGCACGGACTGCTCGGGCCAGGAGTGCCGGGACTTCCGGCCTGGCATCGCTCGGACGTGTGCATTTTTCCTTTCGGCGAGGGCCATCGAGAGGAGCATCCTTGATCAATTGGCGAAAAAAAAATCACGCACGAGACCGAACAAAAACACACAGGGAGTGGCCGTCCGAGCGATGGCCAGCCGGGCGCCCGGCACCGCACGTGCACCGAGGCGTCGGACGTGTGGGGGGTCGCGGCAGCGGCGGCCCGCCCCGGCGAGTCCCCGTCCTCTCTGCGGTCTGCCGCGGGAGGCTCCTCGTCGCCGCGGCGGGAGCCGCCCCGAGCATCGGTAGGTTTACACTCTAGGCGATGCTTAAGAAAACTTAAGTTTTCGGCCAGAGTCTCGACTATTCTTAATGTTTCAATGTAAATCCTAAGATTTGAATCGACACTCTGGGTTTTCTCTCCGAATTCTGAGACTATGAATTTCTTAACCCATGATTTCTAAAGCATTTCGCAGGGTGTACTGGTTGATTCGTTGCGGTAGGCCTATGGTGCCCATGTGTAGTTTTGTTGCAAGGCTTCTGGTTCCCCTCGGTGCCCGATCCGTCCCGTGCACAGAGTCTTCGCACCCCCTAATTACGGTGGGGTGGCGGGTGGACGGGGCCGCCCCACCCCCTCGGCCAGGACGGTGTGCACGGTGTGCGGCCATGATTTTGTGTTCAGCGTATCGCGCCAGCGGTTCCGGCCCACCACGCCTCGGCGCGACACGCTGACCGCTTCCTGGTCCCGAAGCGTCAACGTCCCGAGCCTCTGCCGAAATCCATCCTACCGATCTAACTCGATATTGATTCCGGCCCCCACGATCTGATTCGATTCCTGATCTTGACGTTCCGATGCGGGTTGATGCCCGATGCTTGCGTGGCGCTGCAGGCTGTGCATCCTGGCGCGGCCGATTCGATTCGATTCACGCTCCGTCGCCGATGCGGCCCGATTGACTGATTGCTTCGCACGGGGCTAGGACGAGGATGATTCCGTTAAAGAGCGTTCCCGAACGCTCTCAGAGCGTTCCAGCACGCTCTGAGGAGGCCGCGGCGCCCGAGACAATCCTCCACCAGTGCCACCGGATCTCAGAGATGCTCGATGCATCTTCCCCCGATGTTGTATCCTCGTCCCGGCTTCGTCTTGCCGCTTCGCTGACTGCTCCGAGCCGACTTCGCGATACGACGCTGGCCGCTCCAGCGCCCGCCAGCCGCGAGCCATCGTCAGCGTCCTCGGCCGCCATCGCCCGCGGGCCGCCCGCCTCACGGCGCTGCAGAGTGCGGTCGAGTTTGATTAGTGGGCCGACCCTTGCGAGGCAAGGCGGGCTCCTGTTCGGATGGGGCTCGGATTGAGTCGAGCCTGTCCCTCTGCAGGAGGCATGTCCAAAAATAGTACAAAAAATTAGTCGGGGGGCGATGTTTGGACTATGTTTGAGTATTTTCGAGTATTTGTTGACTATGTTTCATGTTTCGTCCAACATCCGCCTGTAGGAGGACGTGTCCGACCTAAGGCTAGGACCAAGGTAAAGATGTTCCACAGCGTTGCGGGGCACTCTCAGTGCGTTCAGGAGCTCTCTGAAAAAGCCGCGGCGTCCGAGACATCCTCCAGAGCCGCCGGATCTCAGAGATGTTCGATGTATCCTCTCCCGAGTCCATCCTCGCCCTGGTTTCGTCTTGCTTGTGTCCTGCGTACGGCGTCGCATGTCTGCTGCCCTGCTTTGGAGGCCATGCTGCCCTCGGAAGTCGGGTGTTGTTAGAGGTGCCCCTGGCCCAAGGTGCTCCCAGGGTTCCCCTTGGCATCGCTCGGACGTGTGCATTTTTTTTCGGCCAGTACCATCAAGGACCATCCTGGACCATCGAGCAAAAAAAACACGCACGACATCGAACAATGCACGGGAAATGGACGTCCGAGCGACGGCAAGAGGAAGCCCCCACGGCCTCCAGAGCACCCCTCGCGAGGCCCAGGCGGCATCAGGGCCTCCAAAAGTGGAGCGGGAAGCTCGGGGCACCTTTGAGATCAGGGGCACTTCTGGCAACGCCCGAGGATCGGCGGCGAGCGAGAGGAGGAAGTGAGAAGGGGCGGGCCCTCTCAGGGGGCTCGGAGGTCTCCCGGCCTTCTGAGAAGTATGCTGAGCCCTCCCCGAAGACACAGAGGAAGCCTCTCAGGAGGCCAGAGGCCTGCTGAGGAGCCCCGCCGCCTTCCGAGAAGGCCTCCTCCTGCTCATGCCCCCCCCTCGCTCGCCGCCGCAAAGAAGAATCTGGTGCCCTCGCGCGTGCCCTTCCTTGAATCACGCCCGACGGTACAGCCAACCCGCATAGTAAGGATGAGCGATTTGCCCAGGCTGCCCTTGCATCCTTTCCCCCTGCGGCCCATCCTTGGTGCCCTTCGCCGGCCAACCTCGTGCGAAACACGTGAACATGGCCCTCCAAGGCCTTTTTGCATCCTTACCGCGCATGCTTCTTGTGCGAGTTGACTGTAGGAGGAGACGGGGTCGGAGGGCGAGGGCGCGGAGGAGAGTGGAGGAGGAAGAGCAGGCCGCGTGCGCAGAGGAGGAGGAGGAGGAGGATGGAGGAGGAGGAGGATGGAGGAGGAGGAGGATGGAGGAGGAGGATGGAGGAGGGCCGAGGAGGACGAGGAGACATGGCCCTCCAAAGCCCTTTTTGCATCCTTACCGCGCACCTTTCGATTGTGCGGGTGGACTCTCTGTACCCCCCCCCCCGACAGGGGTCCGAAGAACCGGGCGGGCGCCACGCCGCTGCTCCTGGCCGCGGCGGCTGGCAGGCCGCCGCAGCCCTCTCTCGGGGGGGGGGAGGGGTCAGGGCAGGGCACGTCCGGTGAGGCCGTGGGCTGCGGCAGCCCGTGGGCACCGTGCTCGGGGCATCGGCCGGGGCCCTGTCGTGGACGGCATCCGCCCTGCGAGCCGCACCGACGCAGCTGCGGATGTGCACGCGCAGATCTGTGGTGCTTGTTGAAGGAGGGAGGAAGGACGCACGAGAGGGGAGGAGGGAAGGGACGCACGGCGTGGGAGGGCAACAGACGAGGGGGGGGGGGGCAGGGCCGATTTCGACCCGATCGACGCGCTTCGATATCGGTCGACTCGGTTCGATACCGTCTCGACTTTCGAAAGCAATGCATTCGGACCGAGGTATGAGATCGAGGTCGGTACGGGGAGGGCTCTTCGTGCTTGTTGGACGTTCTCGTGCACCCTGGGGAGTGTACGTACCCTCGAATGTTTTGTATGCTTTGGCTGTCGCAGGGTCTCATGTTCTTGGAGGATGCTCTTCTGGCCTAGGTCCGCCTGAACCGATCGACTCGATTCAATATCGGTTCGACCTACGACAATACAAAGAGTGTTCGTAGTTCGAGGAACCTTATGCTCATATGTTTCGCAGGTCTGACGGAAATTCCAGATCTGGGGTACATCATTTCTGCAGTCGATCTCCTACTCGAATTCTGGCTTGTTCGATCCGATTATGTTCCGATGTTCCGGCGAGCCGATGCGGACCGATGCTTGCATGGCATCGTTGTGCTCCGTTGCGCGGCCGACCCGATTCGATTTCGGCTCCTTTTTCCACGGGTGGGTGGGTATGAGGCGCGAGTCTGCTGGAGCTCGGGGTTTGCCGCCACTGTCTGGCGTCCCGCCCCCCGAATGTTCTAGCGGTTCAGTTTTTCTTGCGGGATGTTTGCAGCTGGGGCCCATGAGCCCGCGTCACACTTCAGATTGGATCTCGTCGTGTTTTTGACGGCCCCGTTTGGTCAGCCAGAGTCCTCCAATATTTCCCAGGTTTCCAGAATTTCCAGCTGCGCCGTTAGATACTCTGAACATCTTGGAACGAATCCTGAGCCAATCTTACTACGACATCAGTCTCGCACTATCATCATCCAGCTTCCTCTTCTTCCTACTTCTCTTCCTCCGCCCCCCCACTGCTATTCTTCCCTCCGCCCTGCCGGCCCAGCTGCCCAGGTCCCGAGGTGCCATGGGCACCCTCGACTTTCGGCGGCCCCCCTGTCGCCCCTGTCGCCCTGAGTTCGGGGGAGCCCGTACCCATACTGCACACCCTGCGCATTGCTACTAACATGTGGAATGCGCTTTCGAACGTCGTGCTTTACAATCCCTCGCGTATCTCAGACGCGTTGAGGGCTGAGGATACGTCGGAATCGTTATGCTTCGCGGACATCATCGTGTGCCCAGAGATCTCGACACCGTCTTGTCTTCCATCTTCAGGGGCAACGATAGGGGGTGATAGGCAAATGGGGGGATGCATCGACGCCCAATCGTTCACTCATCGCTGATAGAGGCCCGATCGCCCACCCCCGCCCAGGAGCGTGCGGATCCACCGTCGGGGCTTTCTTGCCGATCGATCGGCGATGTATCGCCGATTCCAGGTCGATGGTTCCCCCCCTGTGCCAGCCCCCCCCCCATGGTAGCCCCTCAAGTTGAGATGGGAGCGGGGCCTTTGTACCAACAGTGAGGAAACATCAGGCGGTCGACGTCTGGTATCCACAGCAGGATCTCGCGGGACGCGGGGGGGCTCCTGAGGCTGAGGTCGGGGGTCTACGACATCACCGTGGTGACGGGGCACCTCCTACCCTCCAGCAAGATGGAAGCAGACCATTTGGCGGCGAGCGAGGGGGGGGGAAGTGAGAAGGCGGAAGCCTCATCAGAAGGCCCTGAAGTCCCCCGGCGTTCTGAGAAGTTTCCCAAGCCTTCCCCGACGACGCAGGACACTACTCAGAAGGCTGGAGGGCCTCCCGGAAGTCCTGCCGCCTTGTGAGAAGGCCTCCTCCTTCTCTTTCCCCGCCTCCGCTCGCCGCCGAACCACAGGGGACACGCGTGCAGGAGACGAGAGCACAGTGGTTGCACACGACAGCTCGAGAGGCCCACCGTCGACCGGTCGTGCATGCGGCGGCCGACGCCAACTCTCAGCTCACTTAGAGGTGCACGGGACACGGACTGCCCCTGCCGACACAGCACGGCGCACACGTGGGTCCGTATGCGCAGGGGACGGAGAGCGAGAAGTCGGTCGTGCTCCGGAGGATGCTGGAGGTGAGGGGCCCTGCTCTCGTGGACGTCTTCCTCCCGGTCGGGTCCACTCGCTCCGGCGCGGGCGCTCGGAGGAGCGCTTGGCCACATCTCTGCTCCAGTCGAAGCGCTTGCCGCCACGGGGAGGTCCAAGATGCGCAGGAGGGCAACGAGGGACCTGCAGGTGATCCCTGACGCTCGTCCTCGGGAGCACGCCCCGAAGCTGTGGCAGGTGCGCTACCAGCTAGACGTACCATCGGCACCACTGGTTGCACATCCATGGGGACGTCATTTCATTTCTCGTCTTCTCTAACAAAACAGCCGTGGAACGCCCCTCCTGGTGGAGCTAGAGCTGGTTGGGGAACGAACAGTATGAAGTGAGAGCACGAGCTTGCGAGGCTTGACCCGCCATATCCGTAAAGTTTTCTGGTGGACGGCATTCGAGAGGTTGCTTTCCAGGAGGCCGCAGTACAGGTGCAGAAGACCGAGCTGACCCCGCGCATTGCCCAGAGGAGCGCAGCTCTTGCCAAGCGGAAGGAAGGGATTCAAGCGCAGCTCTTGCCAAGCGCAGCTCTTGCCAAGTGGTATGTTTCAACGAGGAGGATCGATCACAACCACGTGAGGCGGGGAGAGAAAGAGAGGGAGAACGAATAAAGAGCCAACGGGATTCCGTCGGACCTGGAACACAGCGAACAGTTTGATGACACGGGCCGAGATCCCCAGGCAGGCAGCGGGCACACAGAGCGTCCGGAGGGCCGTGCGCGCGGTCGGAGCTTGTTGACCAGGGGAGCAGGACAGCTAGCCTCCTCCTCCTCCTTCTCCTCCTCCTGAGCCTACAACATCCCAGACCAGTACCTCCCCTCTCTTACGGAGTGGGAGGAGACTGTGACGGTGAGTGCGAGAGAGGGTGGCTTCAGCGCGAAGGTCCTGACGGACCCGACGGACCCTTTTCGGGAGGTGCAGCAGCTGCTGCAGGCGAGTGGGCTGGAGCACGTCGCAGGCGCACGCGCTTTGCTCACGCATGGCGACTGGGTCCGCCCATCGAGCCAGTTGAAGAATGCAGCGCCGTCTGAGGCATGCACCGTATCATTATGTCTCCTCGTAGCTTCAGTGTTGGTCATGTCAGCCTGCGACCAGGGGGACGATGTGGAGCTGGTCTCTTGCGGAGCGGAGGTCGGAGAGAGGATTTGGGCGCGCTGAGCGTCGACTGTACGCTGCTCGCCCACGTTGCACTGAACGCCATTCGCGCCTCCTCCGCCAAGTCAGGACGCGCGCCCGGGCCACCGGCGGCGCGCCCTCCTTCGTGGCGGCGCCCTCCTCTACCCCCGCGTGCGCTTGGACGCGCTCGGCGAGGATGTCGACGCAATGCTCGGCTGGCGCGCGAATTTTGGACCGTTCTATTTTCTGGATCCAAAAAAGGATACGCCGCATGCCTTTCCCTCGACCTCGCGCGCGGAGCTAGCGCGGGCAGAGGGCGACGCGATCCAGTTCCCCTGGGCCAGGCCCTGTCGCCGACAGGCACGCCGGGGCCGTCGGGGAGACCGGGGCGGGCGAGCAGGGCAGCCAGTTCTAGCGCATGCGCGGGCCCGGCGCGGGGGGGGGCGGCAGCGCGCGCGAGCTGTTTGCCCGCGGTTCTCGTCGCCCAGTCGAGGCCTGGCGGGGGCGATTCGGCGCGGGCTCAGCCGCGCGAGAGAGCGAGTGGGCCCGGAGGCCAGCGCCGCTGCTGCGAGCTGCCAACGCTACGAGTTGCACGCTTGCCGACGCGTTGCGCGACGTTTCTGCGCGCAGCCACGCGCGACAAACATCGGGCCTTGCCGCCTTCCGACACTCATCCGCTGGAGGCCCAGACTCGCGCCTCGAACGCCGTCTTGGATTAGGCGTCGGGGTTGCGGGGGGGGGGGGGGGGGGAGGGGGCGAGCCCTGGGGGGTGGGGCGCGCATGCCCGTCGCGACGGGGGCTGGGGCCTTCGCGGCCACGCAGGCCTCTTGACGCGGCGCGCCCCTTTTTTCCCCGGGCTATGCTCTGTTTCGGGCGTTTTTTTTTTTTTTTGGGGGGGCGGGCGGGCAGCTCGCGGCGGGGGTGGGGGGCGGTGCGGATATCCAGAAGTCGGGGTCGATGCGGCGAAGGCGGCGTGGAGGAGGCCAGGGAGATCCTGGGGCACCGCGCGCTCGATCAGAGTCGAGAGAATGCCGCTCGCAGATGTGATCCTCGGTGCAGCGCGCGCCAGTTTGGAGGCTCACCTCTCGTTCGCTTCGACAGTGGCAGACGTTCTTACGGCGCTCTGCCAGCGATGCGCAAGCCATCGCGGTTCTCCCCAGCGCTCTCGGCGCCCGTGGAGAGGGGCCGCCTGTGCGAGAGGGCGGCGCAGTATCCCGCGCGGCTAACCCGCGGGGGCGACAGTTTGCGCGGGTTCGCAGGCCCTAGGATTCCTCGCGGGCGGCCCAGAGTTTCTCGCCTGCCACGTGCTGCGGTGCCTCTTCGCTGACGGCCCTGCTGGCAGGCGCTTTTTCCGATGCGACCCGACCGACGAAGCCGTGCGATGTCTCACCGTGGGCGCGACAGTATGAGCAGAATGCGCAGGCCCTTCCTTCCCCAAGGGCGGCCCAGAATTCGTCGCCCCCCGCGCGACGCGGGCGCGGGCGGGGAGGTGCGGGGTCGCCGCCTACAGTCGAGGAGCTCTAAATTGCCCATCGGAATCGTCGCCGCTCCCATCGAGCGCGCGCCCCTTTTCGCCCACTTGCACCAAGTGACTAGCGTCCGCAGCGCACGTCCACGTCCAATGAGCCAGGTCGCGTCGCGACGGCGCGCAGTGCGATCCCCGGGGCGAGACAGGTGTCCGCGCGACAGGAGCCCCCACGCGTCCCGGGCCCACGGGGCGCTCGACGTGGTGGACCGCGCACGACCCGCGCCCCCCCGTCGAGCTTGTGCAGGCGATGCTCCCAGCGCCGCGTGCGCGCGACCGCGGGGGGCACCCGGCGGGCGGAAGCGCCTGGGGCGGCGACCTGCCACCCGGCGCACATCGATCAGGATGGGAAGAAACACGCAGACCCAATTCATCGTCGACCCCTAGGAAACTATTGGAAAATATTGGGATTGGGCGGGAATGCAAAAAACTCCGAAAATGTGGGAACATATGAGGAATCTTTTTATTTGTGTATTTATTTGCGTGCCCCAGCGCCCCTTCAATCGAGAAGGATCGCGGCGCGCCCCAGGCGGCGCGCGCGACGGGCAGGCGCGCCGCGCGGAGGCCACCGGGCTGCGCCGGAGGCCGCGGCGGGGGGCGGGTCGCAGCGAAGGGGGCGCGGGCCCTCGTTTTCGGCAGCCCCGGGGTGCCGCGCCCCCGCCTTTCCCCTCCTCGCGCTCGCGGCAGCGGTCGGGCAGCCGGGGGAACAGGTGGGAGCCGCCGCGTTTCGGAGGATCGGAGCCGACCTCCTGGGCGGGGTGGGGGCGGACAGCGCGCTCGCGAGCGACGGGCTGCGCGGCCAGAGCTGCCGCCGCCGCGCCCCGCGCGCCCGCGATCGCAGGAGGGCGAAGATCCACCTGGAGGCGGCAGACGTCATCATCCAGCCGCAATTAGCCCGACCTCTGGAGCGACGTCGGGCCTGTCTTTCTACTGGGGAAATATTCAAAGATAGTAAAAAGTGTCTGGGCACGATGTTTTGACATTTTTTGACCATGTTTGAGCAACTCTTTGGCATTTTAAACCTTTCGTCCAAAAAACGCCTGTAGGGGGACGCGCCCGACTTCACTCAAGGAGTACACCCTAGGCGACGTTTAAGAAAACGGACGGTTTCGGCCAGAGTCTCGATTATTCCTATTGTTTCAATGTAGATCCTAGAAATTTAGGGAAAAAAGTTTTTTATTCAAATTCTGAGACTTCCCCACGATTTCTTAAACATTTCGCACGGTGTAGCGCTGCGCGGGGCGCCGCCGAGGTCGGGTCGCCGAAGACCCATGCTCAGCCGATGTCGGGCAGAGCGGTGGCGACCTTATGGGCTCTGTCTTCTTCTCGTGAGATCTCTCACCCTGCACCTGTCTCTGCTGCACCTGTCTCTGCTGAGGCCGTGGCTCTCTCCATGGCCACCTGTCACTGCATGTCGAGCCTTGCGAGCAAAAAACAATCTCACAAGGCGACGGTGGCGTCGTGCAGCCTGCGATTTCTCGCGGGAGGCTCGCCAGGTCAGAATTCCAAGCAGTGGCGAAGCGTCTTGGCTCGCCTACTGCCCCACCAAACAATGTTATAATAACCTTTTCTCACGAAGCGTTCGTAGAACATTTCTGGCTGGGACCGTTTTGTTTTGTCACATCGGGTTGATGCTCTAAGAGCATTGCTTGTGTAAACATTTGGGGGGTTCCAAGAACATTTCGTGGTAGGACTAGGAATGCCGGGACGGTCGGTCCCTGCTCAAAGTTTGCAACGTTTGCACGGGAGGCTCGCCGGGTCAGAATTGCCCCATCAGGGGCTCAGGATCGTTGCGTGCTCTGCTCGGGCGGTCCAAGCGGCCGGGATCACCTTCGGCGGGGCCCAGAGTCGCCAGCGTTTGCCGAGGCAGCCCGGGAACCCAGCTTCGATCCTCGCTCGTCCGCATGTTGTTCCGAGTGAGTAGACGGCACCGCAGACGGGCCTTCCAGATGCGATGGCCATGCGCCCCAAGACCTCCGATTCCCCCGTCGGCTCCGCAGAGTCAAACCAGCCTTGTCCTGGTCTGGGGCTCGCTCGACCAGCACCTCTTGGACCCTTCGGATTTCGGAAACAGTACAGTCGGGGACGAGCAGCGCGTTAGTTTGGGGAGGCAGGCGGAGAGTGGGTGAGGCGGCCATCACATCTCCAAGCATGGTGTCCCAATCTTTGCGCTCCCTGCGGGTAGCGGGGCTCCCTCCTCCTTCCTTTTTTCCTTCGAGACCTCCTCCTCGTCCTTCCTCGATGTCGAACTCCTCCCTGAAGGACCGCATCCGCAGATTCATTCTGGCAGCCGACAGGCAGTCAAGTAATGTCACAATGCCTGGGTCTGTAAAGCAGGGCTGAACCTAAACGCTGTTTTGGGCGATTTCGTGGGCCGTTTTCGTTTCGATTTCGTTTTGCGGTAAAGGCGGATTCGAAACAAAAGCGAAGGACAACGAAAACAAAAAGAAAACGGAACTCACCGTTTAGGTTCAGCCCTGCTGTAAAGGGCTGAAGAGAGTTTTCGAAGTTGTCGTTTGCCGCCTTGGCGTTTTCGTTGCGTCTGCTGCATGGTCCCCAAACGGGCGGGCCCGCTCGCCTGCTTGCGGCAGCGTGAAACTTTGTGCCGGGGGGCGTTTCTGGCCGTAGGGGGGAAGTTCCATTCTGTGCGCCGAAGGAGTGTCCTTGTCCCCCCTCCCCGCGCGTGCTGATTGGCAGCGCAGCCTTGCACATCCGAGGCACGTTAGCAACTGCTTTATGCTAGAGTCTGGCCCACCTGCCGTTCAGTTGGGACCGCCGACGTCTTCTTTTTATTCCTCCGCCTCATAATTTCATCTATTTCTCCCACCCCTTCAATGTTATTATCTCTCCTTGTCGTCGTCGTCCTCCTCCTCCTCCTCCTCTCCCACCTTGGTTCTTCCGTCTCCTCCTCGCCCCCGTCTTCGTCCATCCATTTGGTCCTCATCCGCCCTCTTCGCTCCTTCGTCGCATCATGCCTATGGCCTCTTTGCTTAATGTCATTTTTGTCTCTGATTGTCTGTT